TCAGGACATTCACCTCAGTCGCACTCAGTTGGCGGTCGCCTGAAAGAGTAAAATGTATTTTTTGTTATATTCAAACATGTAATCACAAGACGTGGTGGGGACACACTAAGTTTTTTTCAACTTATATTAATGCCGCCACCAACACAGGGGACAATACAACACTTTTTTACACCTGACCTAAGTGAGGAAAGTCGTGTAAAGTGCCTTTCCCAATGGCACAAGATCGGTGGCATGTCAGGACTCGAACCCGGGGCCGAGTCGAGCACTCTGCCGTTCCCCCACGCGCCTCCACAAAAAAAATGTATTTTTTGCAGCTACATGAAGTATGCATGACCAGTCTGTGTAACACACACCCTTATGTCCAGGGACTAGGGCTCGTTGGGGGGGGGGGGTAGGTTTGCCTAGTGGCTGCTAGAAGGGTGATTTAGGCAGGATAAACCAATGGTGTGTTACGGAAAATCGTTAAAATCCTTCCCACGCCCGTTGCTAGACTTACCCACCGGTAATAGTGCTTGTTTAACTGCGGACTTCACACCCTTCAGTATGTAATTATTAAGTCTTGAAGTGATTGAGAGGCAGGAAAGACGTGTGTACCGATCTATACCGATATTGGAATGGAATCACATTCGTGGTATGACCAGACCAGGGCGGGATGTCTTGAATGCAAGGCAAGGACTCCCCTAGGTTTTCTGTATCTGTATCTGTATAGCCGGTATGATCACCCTTCGACGTAACACATCAGCTTCTGTATCTGTATAGCCGGTATAACCGCCCTTCAGCGTAACACACCAGCTTTTGTATCTGTATAGCCGGTACGATCACCCTTCGGCGTAACACACCAGCTTCGCAGGCACGCGGCGGCAGCTGGCTACATTACACCGAACGACTTTTTACACATTGAAAACCTAACCCTTGAACATCTGCGTTTAAACCTAACCAATGACAATGCCCCTACTGTACTTGGTGGTTTTAAAACAATAAAAATGAATCTGTCTGACCGTCAGCATCCAGGGCCAGCAGAACTTCATCGTAGGTGATGTGGCTCAGAACTTCCAGCCTGGAGAGTCTGCCGTCTCCGTTGGAGTCCAGAGGGTTGTCGATGGCAGGGTTGTAGAGGACGTCCCAGATGTAGTTCAGCTGGTAAGCTTCTGCTGCGTCCAGGGTCCCGTCACCTGTTGACACGGAAAATATAAAAATGTACTTGAATGAGGAAGTCCAGAGTGACTGGTCGAAAGCCCTAGGTGAGAGAACTTTTTTTGTTTTGGACCAAAAGTTTTAACTTTAAACATGTAACTACCAACACAGATGAACTTTTATGATAGTAAAAATGTACTTGTATGATGGATTTAAAAAAACTAGCAAGTAAGACAATTGTGGCTATCTATGACTGCTTTGACTTGAAAGAATAGAAATGTGTACTTAGTATCCTAAACTATGGTAGAAAATTCCAATTGCAAACACCTAACAAGCCAAACTAGCAGACATAGATTGGCTTTGTCGTAGCCACATTTCCATTGTACCTTCTCGCATATCCTGGTACGAAATTGTCACGACTACAAATAATGGCTTTCAAAATGGCTGTGTACTGTGCGTCTCTAAAATCTGACAAGGAAAATCAACTATAGATATAAAAGAATAGAAAAAGTTTAAAATCCCTACCGTTGAAGTCGAACTGGTCGTAGAAGTCGCTGAGAGTCATCCCGTTCTCGATCTCCCTGAAGGTGAGGTGGTCGTCTCCGTCGGTGTTCAGTTCGTAAAACTTGTCTCCGGTTCCCCACAGCTCGATGATCTGAGGCAGGTAAATGAAGCCATCGCCTGCACGATAGAAAGCATTGCTAGTTTCGCTACAGTACCGAAGGTAGTAGCTAGGAGGCCCATAACCAAACTTGTACTTCATTTTGCCAGTAAGACCCATATACAGCATATTGTTCATGAATGCATTTTACGAATTACAAATGATTTTGGACGATGCATCCGTGAAGGTTCCCGAGAATGACCAATTTAGCTGTCGTTAAGCTATCTTATGATGCAAGTTGCAGGGTCCTTAGGAAAAGGGTCCTTTATGAGCTAAAATGTGTATGTAGATAGCAGTTACGTCAAAGGTCTTCTTGGGTTAACAAACCAGTAAGGCGGTTGTGCTGTCACCTTAATACTAGAAACCATGTCTGCTACAAAAGTTTTACATGGATAGATACCAACGGGGAAGCTGCCGATTCATGCTGTGAAAGTTTGCATACCGTCCCTGTCCAGGGCCACGAGAGCCTCGTGCAGAGACATAGAGCTGAGAACTTCATCCTTGGAGACCAGACCGTCACCGTTGGCATCTAGGCCGCTAGTCGCCTGCCTGTGTGGTAAATGTCAAGAGGACGTATGACTTCTTTATCATGGTTTTGATGTTCACATTTATAGTACGCTTTCCACCAGATGGATACATTTTAAACAGATCTAAACTACAGAGTGAAAAGTGATCCTTAAACAGCAAACTGCTATAGCTATGGAGCTTACTAGATGCAAGAATAATAATTGTATATTTTTAACATTTCGAAATGGGGCTTTACATTAAACCGGTTACCGCTGTTTCCAGCGATGCTAGGGTGCTGCGTTGTATAAAAGTAATACCGGTTGGCCAGCTACGATTCTGACCCATTAGTAGATCGTACTTCCCCCCCTCCTCATGTTTAAAATAGTATTGAAATTTATGTTCTGTACCTCTTCATAGGAGACGCTGTTGCCAAGGCAACGAACAGCAGAAGGAAGGGAGTCATGGTTGATGATTGATGAAAAAATCTGAAAAATAATCGCCACGAGCCATTGTTAGGGTAAGTACTAAAACATAAAATCAACTTTATTGCCCAACAACTGCAACTGGTAGTGATGGCACGATATATGGCAAAGAAGAAATAACAAGGGTAGATACATGAACTATACTAAGATATATTTCTAACGGAGCTAATCCATAATGATACTAAAGCTAAACTGTTGTGTTTTCTTGAACATTCTGTAATTCAGGATATATGTACATAGGTAACATATCTTACGACCTAGGGTTCCATCACTGCCATGAGGCAGATCAAAACAACGAGATAATTAAAAGAAGCTACAACGGATTGTATAACATATTCTGAGGGTCCCACCATAGCCAAGAAGTAGCTAGATCATAATTAAAACTATATATATATATATATACATATATACATATATATATACATATATATATATATACATATATACATATATATATATATATAGAGAGAGAGAGAGAGAGAGAGAGACAGACAGACAGACAGACAGACAGACAGTGAGAGAGAGAGAACGATATAATTAAAAGAAGCTAGAATAGATTGGATTAAAGTAGACTCACCAGTCTGTTCCTGTCAAGACACTACCAGACGCTCAGTCGAGTGAAGTCTGAGACAGTGACGTTGTCACGAACACTCGACCCTAATATACACGTCTTTTGGACGCCCAACGGCATTCAAACAGGACCTACCCGGGTTGGTCAATACAAACGTCCGCTTGAAATTCGATTTTTCACACAGCTATCAACCATAGGTGGGGTTATGACGTTAGTGCCAGGTTGTACCGTGTTTCGCTGCTCCTAGTGACGTCTATGACACCTTCGGGGTTACAATGTCAGGGCCAGTTCTATTATTGCACGTTGAACATATTGCACGGAGCGTATGTGGTGGATGTTAGTTCAAGATGGGGTCGTGTGGCGCAGTCGGTAGCGCGTTCGGCTCACACCCGAGAGGTCGCGGGTTCGAACCCTGCCCATGTCACCGATCTTGTGCCCTCGGGAAAGGCGTTTCACACGACTTTCCTCACTTCACTCAGGTGGAAATGAGTACCTAGCTTCGGCTAGGGACGTCCCTCGGATACGACGTTGAATGGAGGTCCGTTAAAAAAACTTACACTCTACAACTACCACTTTTTTGTGCTACAAAAACAATCTTGTTCTTGCGGATGACATCCTCGCCTGTATCTTGCCAATATGAACCGTCGTGAACTTTGGCTGTACAGACGCATTTGCCATACTAATGTATCAATTCTAACGTTGCTAAAATCATACGCTGGCAAAGTGGCCAAACGCTACATGTGTATCCTTCCTACGTCCATTCCTCTGCTTACTATGTGCAGTTTGTTCCGACCCTACCCACGCTCTATTCTTTACGTTCTGATAAGAATGTTTTGCAGGATACTCCAGACGCCAGGGTCTGCCTGGTGTTATCAATATGTAAATACATTAACAACCTGTTTTATACACACATGGCACGCGTGTAGTGTTATGCTAAGGTGGCGGGTGAAATGTTATGTAAATATGCAGAACACATGCAGTATTTGTGTGAAAGTTCGTCTGTGGTTAAACAGCACTTAGCTTAAGACTTTGTTCAAACAAAGAGAAATCTGTCCTTTCGGACACAGAAAAAACAAGCAAACAACGCACCAAGACGTACCGTTTTCTCCTAAGAAAAAGCCATAAAACAAACAGTGAAGACTATGAATTAGTAAATGAGTGACTGAGTTTTAGACTAAGTTTTTGAGATATTTTCATGTTACCATTGAGGTTATAATCGTCCATTTAAGAAGCAAGGTCGACAGCCAACACTTAAGAATACTTTTTCTATCTAAAAAAAGTGAGAAAAAATTTCTCATCTATCTTATCACCATTTTACTATCGATGGTGCATTTCCATTCTAATGGTTAGCTTTTATGTTTGATATTTTTTACATGGAATAAGCAACCACGACTTAGTTACTTAAACAAACGAATATATAACACTTTGTTGACTGTAATATTTTATTTCAGTCTTTCGTTTGCATAACTGTAGCTACTGATGAATCTGCAATCGGGTCATCACAAGAACCAGCTGTTCAAAGAAAAATATATTTATGTTAATTAGATCAGGGTTACAAATACTTACAAGAGGAAGATGGTGTATTTTTTTATAATGCTAACTTTAACTTAGTGACAGCATAAATAAAGCTGTATTTACTACTGGCTTATGAAGAAAAAAACAGAACAAATAATCGCATTTGTTTTTATGTGCAGAATCAACATTGCTGCTGTATCAGCTACAGTTGTATCTTGTATATGTAGCATGAATGAAGAAGACACATGGTTGATTTTATCTGAAGAGATATAGATAATAAAACTAGGGAAGTGACATTTGCAAAGCAAATGCATAATGTTTACCTTCGGACATGGTCTGCCCTGTTAATTCTTACTCAAACACATTCATATCACATGTACTACTAGTATATTGTGACAGTAGTAGGGCAGACCATAAAATTGCAACATTATGTAACCCAACACCAGTCACCATGGTGAGAGACGTCAAGAGGTTGTGAAGAAATGTGAGACGTCAGAGGTTGTTGAGGAAGAGGAAGAGGAGGAGGAAGAAACTGAGTAAAAACAATGTTTTCCTTCGGTAAACATAACAAGGCACGTTAAGCTCACCCCGTAATGAGGACCCTGCTTAGTTGCTAGCGTTGGCGGCTGCGATAGTCACATACACAGTGTAGAAACCGGCGCCCTCGCCATTCTCTAGGTAGTTGCTATCTGGAATCAGAAAAACACGAAAAATCAGTTGAGGTAAAAAAAAGAAAACAACATTAATCCATTCACAGTTCTACAACGGATCACCAATGCCAGAAGTGTGGACGACTGTTTGCCTTAAGTCGATGAAGGTTAGACATCCAGGTAATACGATATGCCAATAAACAGTTACTCAAGCAACTGGATATGATTTTGAAAAACGTCAGACGTTTTAGCTAGTATCCACAAGCTTTCGTCAGTGACTGAGAGACCAGAGGAGAAAGGCAGGTTTATAAGCACAAACTATTGATGGATATACAAATAAAGTGAAGGTAATTTTTTGGAAGTCGAAAAGGGAACAAAAGTCAGACAAGTCAAGACAAGATAATGCAAATTAGTCAGAAAGCTCCTGTTGTACAGAACAGGAGCTTTAGTGGATACTAGCTTAAACGTCTGACCGTTTCCAAAATCATATCCAGTTGCTTGAGTGACTGTTTTTGGCGTGTTTGCCAAGTAACGTTTGGACTCAGAACCACATGAGGACACACACCTCGCAAACAACGACGCTAACAGTCATCTGCGCCTGCATAGACGAAGGACGACCAATGTTTACCTCTTCCCATGGATTCACCCGCTTCGTTTTTTTTTCGTTTTTCCGTAGCAGGCTTATAGAACTGGGGGTTTGGTGGTCTTAGGCTGTTTTCTGATTAGCCTCCGTAGCAGGCTTATAGAACTGGGGATTTGGTGGTCTTTGGCTGTTTTCTGATTAGCCCAGTTCTAAACACGGGTACTTAAACCAGGCCGGCTACGTTGTCATCAGAAAAAAAAGCAAATAAAAGCTCCCAAAGACCCTGAAGACCCCCCAAACCCCCAGGTTTTTGGCACGCTATGGAGGCTAAAACATACCGTCCTGGTCCAGCCTGTCAAAGATCCTGCCGAGGCTCATGCGGTGACTTTTGGCCTCGTCATAAGTGACGAACCCATCGTCGTTGTTGTCCTGGTCGTTCATGAACTCCGTGGTCTCGGAGCCCATCAGGACCATCAGCTCAGCGGGAGTCAGACGCTGGTCACCTGGACGAGCCAAAGTGTGTGAAAACCAACACAGGGGTAAGACAATGCTCATTTTCACCTCAGCAGAGTGAGGAAAGTCGTGTAAAGTGCCTTTTCCAAGGGCACAAGATCGGTGGCATGTCAGGACTCGAACCCGGGACCTCTCGGTTCCGAGTCGCGCACTCTGCCGCTATGTATTCTTTAGTCTTTACTTCTATATGATAACTCTACATGATGATTATTCAGAACCTTGACTGAACATGGTTCTGGATATAGCGCAGTTTTGGATAGTCTCCGTGTATCCAAGTTCGTAGACTTGCCCAGCCACGGTTCTGGATACGCGAGGACTATCCAGAACCATTAATGTCTATGTATGCTTCAAGATAAAGAACGGTTCTGGATACAACATTGTCCGTGCCCTGACTATCTTACGGGCTCATGCGCCCCCCCCCCCATAGGTATATCCACATGTACCTCCTGCTGGCTGCTCCCCAGGCTCTGTTCTGGACTATCCAGAACCGAGCCTGAGCACAGTTGTGGATAAAACACGGTTCTGGATAGTCTCTGCGTGTCCCAGGCTCGGTTCTGGATACGCTTGGGCTATCCAGAACCGTGACTTACCACGGTTCTGGATACTCGGGATACGTGACCATATCTTACCGTCAGTGTCCAGAGCCATGAGAACCTCGTCGTAATTCATGTGGCTTAAAACCTCGAGCCTGGAGAGTCTGCCGTCACCGTTGGAGTCCAGAGGGTCGTCCAGGGTAGGGTCATTGATGACATCGTAGATGAAGTTGAGCTGGTAAGCCTCGGCAACATCCAGGGTGCCGTCCACTGTGGGTATAGAATAGTTCGGATTTATTTTTAAAATTCGACATATCTAGAGAGTTTATTGAGATCTAAGATAAGCTAAACGCGTTCACCACATCATGCTTAACATCAAGCGCCTAGAGCATGTGAGCAACGCCTGGATCTACAAGTTGACCAACACTCGACCCCTTATCACCATGGTAAGGCATCGTCAACTTCGATTCCTGGGACATGCACTTAGAATGCCTGTGGGGGAACCATGCCGGGCATGTGCCCTGTATGTACCGACGCACGGCAAAAGGCGCCCAGGACGCACCACTCGACTACGTATACCCGGAATATGTTGGGGGACGCTGAGGGCATAAGATAGTTCCAATTTAAATGCATGATCCAATGGAGTTTTTAGGGCCTGGAAACCCAACTTTTCAAAGTCAATATTCTAGTGACTTATCTCCATACTGAGTTGAAACCACACTATTCCAATGTAAAGTTACCCTCATGGAGCAAATGTACCCAAACATTCTGACGAAAAATAGTTACTGGAAGGGCCCCTGGCTGATTTTAGGGGTACCTCCCCTAAAATAAAGGACTCATCTTGGGGCTTGTTTCTCCAGTTTTAAATACCCAAAGTATGAAATACTGTTTGAAACGTGCTAATGTGAAGCAGTATGTGTCAACATCATAAAGAATTCGAATATTTCCAGTTTCGCTGCTCTGAAATCGCATTGGATGCCTTTTAAACGTAGACGTATATAGACAATGTTATCCTTTCATATCCCGTCTGTACAACTCCTCAAGCAACGTTATCCAATCCGTTCTCAAATCGGATGTAATATTCCGCCACAGCTTGTTCCGCAATATCTGGGCCCGTCTGTACTTAATAGACGTATTTTACTATTGTTATTATGTGTTATTACAGGGCATTTCCATACGACTGTAGACGCAGAATACAGTGCGAACATGTAAAAACAACTGACCACAATACTCCTGCAGGAGGCAAACCTCCTTCACTCCTTCATCATCATCAAACCTCCGGATTATAAATCCGGTGAGGTACACTTGATAAAGTTACTCCAGTATGTCCTATCCCTCATAGCGGACACTAATGCAGTCCCTGCGAGACCAGTGTCTCTCTCTAACATAGACAACACTGGCTCCTTACTACGAACAACATGCCCTGCCAGGGCGAGTCTACGTCTGTATCTGTATCTCTATAGCCGGTATAACCGCCCTTCGGCGTAACACACCAGCTACAGACGAAATGGGCGGGAGAGTCATAAATAGATAGAAAGAAAGAAAGACGGAATACGTACTGTTGAAGTCGAACTGATCGTAAAAGGTGCTCAGAGTCATTCCGTTCTCGATCTCCCTGAAGGTGAGGTGGTCGTCTCCGTCGGTGTTGAGAAGGTAAAACTGGTCACCAACTCCCCACAGCTCGATGATCTGAGCCAGGTAGATGAAGCCATCACCTGCCCAGAGAGGATTACATTTAAGGCTAATCACAAGAATAAAAACTGTAAAAAAAGTGCAAGTAACAAGGATGTCGCTAGGAGGCGCATGACAGATTTTGACCGCAATTTTGCCCATATACAATGCTTTACTATACCAAGAGTACAAATGAACCCCAAAAATGAACATATGTGATATGGTCATAAAAAGACATGTGAGCCATTCAAGTCCAAACGTAGTAATTTGCTCTCCCTTGAAATGCTGATATGGGCCAGTTTTGTGCCTGATACATGATAAAAAAAATAAACAAGTAGAGCTTACCGTCCCTGTCCAGGGCGACAAGAGCCTCGTGAAGAGACATGGCGGCAAACACTTCGTCCTTAGAGACGAGTCCGTCACCGTCGGCATCCAGACCGCCCATCGTCTGCCTACATGCAAAAACTTCGTCATCATACTTTTCTACATCAACGCTACAATCATATACATATAAACATTCAAAAAGATCTAGGGCTAGGTGATCCTTAAACAGCAAAACACAACTCCAAGAGCTACGACTAGGGGGCTAGCAGGATACAGGTACTGAACTAAATGTATCAGATACTAAACTGAATCGTGGGGTCGTGTGGCGTAGCGGCAGAGTGCGCGACTCGGAACTTAGAGTCCCGGGTTCGAGTCCTGACATGCCACCGATCTTGTGCCCTTGGGAAAAGCACTTTACACGACTTTCCTCACTTCGCTCAGGTGAAAATGTGTATTGTCCTGTCATGTATTTGTCCCCTGTGTTGGTGGCGGCATTAATATAAGTTGAAAAAAAACTTGAGTGTGTCGTCACCACGTCTGGTGATTACATGTTGGAATAAAAAAAAACTGAATCTACCAATCCAGTAGATAAGTTAGTATTATTTTAACCAGATATTTTAAATGTTGAATAAAAGCACTCATTTTGGCTGGTCGAGTCAAATTCGAACTCATTTTAGAGTAGAACGCCACATACATATGATCACGTTGTACGTACCTCCTCATGGGAGATGCAGTTGCCAAGGCAACGAACAGGAAAAGGAAGGGAGTCATGATTCTGAAAAGTACACAGCAGCGTTAGAGTACAAGTCAAGCATAAATACCACTAGTTATTAAGCTCTCTAAACGTCTAGGCGCGAGCGCCACTAACCAAATTCCTTTACCAATATTCCATCTAACAAATCGTACGTCTTACGAGTTTCTTTATAGTAAAGAAGCAGAACAAAAACGCCATGAAAGAATACAGAATAACAACTACTCACCTGGTGATTCTTGTCAGGACACTTCAAGACGTCGAGTTTTGTGAAGATTGAGTCCGAGGCACTCGGTCCTAATATACACGTCTTGAAGGAAGATCCGGAGGTTCTTATCAAGACACCGCAAGGTTGGCTAATAATAGTAATATCTATGTCCGTTTGTTGTCCTATTTTTATCGGGCAGATGACCCAGTTTGGGTTGTAATGTCATGGCCGACTCTTATTCACGATGGAATGGCCAGTTATTTCAATTTACAAGAACTGGATTTGTATAAAAAATGCATCAACACGCCTCTAATTACTCATTTTTTCAATTACTCAAGAGATTTCATACAACCTCTTACTAGTGAACTAGTGAAAAATTGAGTTCGAGGGGTTTTAACTCATTTTCACTAATAAGAGAATTAGTTTAACTTCGTATTCGTGAAAAAATGAGTTAACAACCCCCTCGCTCATTTTTGCTCATTTATTGGGTTAAAAGTACAAACTACGCATTAGCACCACTTTTTTTCTCTTAATTCGTCTTTTGCCCTCTTTTAAAAATACTAACCAAATAAATGTGCTAAATAATCAGGTTTGTTTATTATGTGGTTTGTTACTAAACCTAATGACGTAATGTGACGCATGCTTCAGCCTTTACGTTCTGATAAGGATGTTGTACAGGATCCACGCTGGGTTCGGCTCATCCTGACAAAACATAAATCTTTACATAACCTGTTATTATCAAACTCCTCTCTGTTTTGAACACGAAGGACGCGCGTGCTGCGTCATCTAAGCTAAGGTGACGTGGTACAAAATAAACAAGAATTCGGAGATCTCATACCTCCATGAAATGTATGAGTTTTTGTAAATGTTTTTACAAAGTATATTACAGTGCAGAACAAAATAACATAGGCTTTTATTTTCAAACGCACAGCTAATACAGTAGCACCTTTGGCCTGAAATATGTAGGTCAGCCTATTCCAGAGGGAGAACCTCATTAATCAAACCGGCGCGCTGACCGCTGGTGTTTTGTTGCATAACCGGCACATCTGTTTTCCCTGCCTTACAAAACCGGAAGTTCTGCTGCAGTACCAAGGTCAGCCACCAGGAGGCCCATATTTGACCTTGACCTTTGGCTTCCTAAGACCTACCAGCATACCAAATATCATCACAATCCATAAAGGCGTTCTGAACTTATGCTGAACAAATGTGCGGAAACACACACACACACACACACACACACACACACACACACACATACATAAATACACACACACAGACGCGCCAAAAACAATACCTCTATTTTCATGGAGGTAACAAATGATAACGACCGTTCGGACAACCAACCATGGTCGACAGCCAAACCTTTTAAAAAATACCTAGCAATACCCTTTCTATCCAAAAGAGTGAGTGAATGAGTGAGTGAGTGGGTGAGTGGGTGAGTGAGTGAGTGGGTGGGTGAGTGAGTGAGTGAGTGAGTTAGTGAGTGAGTGAGTGAGTTAGTGAGTGAGTGGGTGAGTGGGTGAGTGAGTGAGTGAATGGGTGAGTGAGTGAGTGAGTGAGTGAGTGAGTGAGTGGGTGAGTGAGTGAGTGAGTGAATGGGTGAGTGAGTGAGTGAGTGAGTGAGTACAGTTTCTCATGTATCATATCAACATTTTACTAACGATGGTACATTTTTGTTTTAATGACATGGTCAGCTTTTAGTCTTGATATTTGTGACATAAAACAAGCAAAACCACCACGTAGTCATTTCCCAACTATCTTAAACAGACGACAAGACAACACGTTGTTGACTTTAAGATTTTATTCTTTATTCAGTCTGTATGTTTGCCGTGCATCAGCTACTGGTGAATCTGTAATCGGGTCGTCACGAGGTCCAACTGTTCGTCAGGTGACTGCATTCCAAGATGGTGGATTAAATTAGTAAAGCTGTTGGGAAAATGGCATTGCTGTTAGAATGAAAAAGATCGGGGCTACATCTCCAATTCACCAAGGAGGAATGATAGGAATCCAAGTTTTGCAAGATGAATAGCTAGACATTCATATGGCCACATGTATATTAAGCCCCATTCACTACAGTACTGGATTATGAAGACTGTGACAAGAAAAACAGAACAAACCACCTTTTTTTACTTGCAGAACCAATATGGCTGTTTTAGCAGCTGTATCTTGTATATGTAGGATCAGTGAATATAGCTTGTAACATTAAGCATTACACTCATAGAAATCTGAAGTAAATATCGAGATTCTAAAAAATAACACACATTAAACGTACCCTGTAATGAGGAAGCTGTTTAGTTTTCAGCGTTGGCGACTGCGATAATCGTGTAGAGAGTGTAGAAACCGGCGCCCTCGCCGTTCTCTAGGTAGTCACTATCTGTTAGCAGTTGAACAACACAGATTAGTATAGGAAGGAAAAAACAACAATGATACATTCACAGCGACTAAATTTTCTGGTTGTCAAACTCCAATGGAAAATTATTTTCCCCCTGTCTGGTGGAAACAAAAGAAGCAGATCTCTGTTTCTGTCTTTTTGTCTGTCTCCCTTTTTCTCTATGTCTCTCTATCTCCTTGTCTGTCTCTCTGTCCCTCTCTGCCTCTACCTGTCTCTCTCTGCCTCTCTGTCTCCGTGTCTCTGTTTCTCTTTCTTTCACTCTGTCTCTTTCTGTCTCTTTTCTGTCTGCCTCTAGATCTGTCTTTCTTCTCTCTCTACCTCTCTGTATCTGTCTTTCTGTCTGTCTCTCGATTTCTCTCTGTCTCTCTCTGTTTCTATCTATCTCTCTCTGTCTCTGTCTTTCTCTCAGTCTCTCCCTGCCACAGTCTGTCTCTCTTTGTGTCTCTCTACTAGAGCTCTCTGTATCTGTCTTTCTGTATCTTTCCCTCTGTTTCTGTCTCTCTCTGTCTCAGTCTACCTGTGTCTCTCTGCTTCTCTCTTCCTCTCTGTTTCTGTCTCTTAGTCTCTGTCCCTCTGTCTTTCTCTCAGTATCTCCCTGCCTCAGTCTGTCTCTCTTTGTGTCTCTCTCTGTCTCTCTCTCTGTCTCTGTCTATGTGCCTGCACTGTATTGTTGAAATCCCAACCAAAAAGAAAGAAAAAAAAACGTACCGTCCAAGTCCAGTCTGTCGAAGACCTTCCCGAGGTTCATGCGGTGGCTCTTAGCCTCATCAAAGGTGACGAACCCGTCGTCGTTGTTGTCCTGCTCGTTCATGAACCTGTCGGTTACGGAGCCCATCAGGACCATCAGCTCTTCACGACTCAGCTGACGGTCACCTGTGAGAGCAAACACATAACAGAATAAGAATATAGTAGAGGAGATTTATTCTTCAAGCTAACCGACATCTCGCACACGCAGTCGTCCCTCAGTAAGACATCTGGAGCCGCATAGTTCCCGTTTAGAACTTTTATTCAGCCTGTCACACGACCAGGTTTGCCTGTGTCTTACAAAAGGACGACTGCATGTGCAAGATGTCGGTTAGCTTGAGAAAATGAATCCCCTCTACTATATACATAACAGAATAAGAATAAACATCATTCTGTCTCGATAGACAATGGAGACCGTGAGAAGGGTTGACACGGCGGCCTTCGCTTGGATCTGTTTAAGGTGGTTATTAACAAGTTGCGAATCTGAGACCCACACACTTGGGCATCCGTCTTCCCCAGCGGATCTATATCGGGGGAGACGTGCTGGTTCTGGTTGGGATGCTTTTGCAGCGTGTAATGGACCAAGTTCCTTGCCTGAATGGATTAGGGTTAATATTATGGACGATTCTGGATAGTCTCTATTGTATCCAGATCTGTGCCTATCTAGTTCTATGCCTGAACGGATTAGTGGTAGGATCAGGCACGGTTCTGGATAGTCTCTGCGTATCCAAGGACGTAGACTTGTCCCAGTCACGAATCTGGATACGCGTAGACTATCCAGAACCGCGACTGAGCATGGCTCTGGATAAAGCCCGGTTCTGGATAGTCTCCGCGTATCCCAGTTTTTGGTTCTGCATACGTGTGCACTATCCAGAACCGAGCCTAAGCGTGGTTCTGGATAAAGTATGGTTCTGGATGCAAAGAACAACTCCCGTACCCAGAGTGACCCAGAATCTTACCGTCGGTGTCCAAGGCCATGAGATAGTCTAAGCGTATCCCAGGCTCTGTTCTGGATACGTATGGACTATCTAGCACCATTAAAGCCTAAGTATGTTTCTGGATAAAGCACGGTTCTGGATACAGCAACCCAGAATGACTCTATCTTACCGTCAGTGTCCAGGGCCATGAGAACCTCGTCGTAGGTCATGTGGCTGACAACCTCGAGTTTGGAGAGCCTGCCGTCACCGTTGGAGTCAAGAGGGTCGTCGATGGTCGGGTCATTCAGAACGTCATAGATGAAGTTCAGCTGGTAAGCTTCAGCAACGTCCAGGGTGCCGTCCACTGTGGGTAAAGTTTGAGTTTGTGTTGTCAAGTCTTGTCAGCAGTGCATGCCCTTTGTAATAGCCACTGGCTATGTTCCAACATATAATCACAAGACGTGGTGACGGCACACTCAAGTTTTTTCAACCTATATTAAAGCCGCCACCAACACGGGGGACAGGACAATACTCATTTTCATCTGAGCGAAGTGAGGAAAGTCGTGTATTAAATGTGCCTTTCCCAAGGGCACAAGATCGGTGACATGTACAGACTCGAACCCATGACCTCTTGGTTCCGAGTCGAGCATGCTGCCGCTACGCCACACGACCCCACTTATTGGTGTAGATGAGTATTGTTGACGGCATAAAATAAGTTGAAAAAAATTGAGTGTGCCGTCACCATGTCTAGTCATGAAAATAGATGTAAAGAAATAAAGACAAAATACGTACTGTTGAAATCAAACTTGTCGTAGAAGTCGCTGAGAGACATTCCGTTCTCGATCTCCCTGAAGGTGAGGTGGTCGTCTCCGTCGGTGTTGAGAAGGTAAAACACGTCTCCGACTCCCCACAGCTCGATAATCTGAGGCAGATAGATGAAGCCATCGCCTGCACACAGAGAGAACATTTTTAAAAAATTAACTTTTAAGAATTTTAAATTAAGAAAATTTAAGAATTTTTAAAAAATTGAAAATTAAAAAAAATTAAAAATAAAAGTTCAAACTTTTTTCCAATTTTCAAATTTTTAGAAATTAAAAAGATTAAAATTCATTTTTTTAAATTAAGAAATTTAAAAAAAATTAAAAATTTTTAAAATTCAAAAAATTTAAAAGAACTTTAAAACAATTTTTTCATAAAAATTTTAAAATTTAAATATAGAAAATATAGAAAATCTAATGTCTATGTCTTACCATCCCTGTCCAGAGCGACAAGAGCCTCGTGCAGAGACATGGCGGCAAACACTTCGTCCTTAGAGACTAGGCCGTCCATGTTGGCATCCAGGCCGGCATCCATCTGCCTACATGCAAAAACGTAAGGACATGTTTAAAGTTAAAACTTTTGGTTCCAACACAAAAAAGTTCTCTCACCTACAGCTTTCGACCAGTCACTCTGGTCTTCCTCAGTAGACTGACACAGTGAAGCTTGTCACGTGGCTTCTTTGAAGTGTGACTGGGTCAGTCTACTGAGGAAGACCAGAGTGACTGGTCGAAAGCTATAGGTGAGAGAACTTTCTTGTGTTGGACCAAAAGTTTTAACTTTAAACATGTAACTACCAACACAGATGAACTTTCATGATACGTAAGGACATATTGTGACTTTTCAATCATAGGTTTTACATCCATATTTCCCAACGCTACAGTCGTATAAATACATGTACATTCAAGTAGACCTAAACGACAAAGGGCTAGGTGCGGCGAAATATTCTCTCAACGGACAAACTCCCTTGGCATGCTTTTCTCTCTATTTGGCCGATTTCTACTTCTTTCCAGCCGCCTCCCCAAGCCTGGTAGAGGCTAAGGTTCTCCTCAATTATATAAACAGAAATACACAGCTATAAGAGCTAGGAATAGGGGGCTAGCAGGATACAAGGCAAATTGAAACTAAATGTATCCATCCAGTGGAAAATGTAGTCTTATGTTCACCAGTTATCGCCTTCTGCCAGCGAAACTAGGGTGATACGTATACGTTAAAAAGCACTATGATTTTGTCTAGTTGAGTCAAATTCAAACTTATTTTAAGTTTTGAATTCTGATGATTCATTATTCTGATGAAGGTGATAGTGGTCCTTCAAAATGTGATCTCTTTGTAACCCTTGTATTGGAATAAAGTTAAACATTTTACTATAATCATTACTACCAACAAAGATGAGCTTTCATGATCATTTTTTTTTCGTAGATCAACACAAAAATATCATCACATAGAACGTGGATATTCAGTACGTACCTCCTCATGGGAGATGCAGTTGCCAAGGCAACGAACAGGAAAAGGAAGGGAGTCATGGTTCTGAAAAATAAACCATCACATAGAATCGTTACAGTACACGTCAAAAATAGTTACCAAGGACTGGTAGACTGTTAAGCTTTGAGCACCAACCAAACTTTTTATCTCACAAATCGTTCGTCGTAAGAGTTCAATCATAATTGAATCTTTAACTGCATGACATGCCCATGGAGCTAAATGCATATATCAGAGTGTGATGTTATATGTACAACATATTGAGTAAAATAATACATAGGATACAAGGATAAAAGAAACGTAAACGTCTTAACAACTACTAGAGGATACATTCTATCTAATCTAGGCCTTCACTATTTCTTGTCTCTTTTTTTAAGCAACTGGAGATAAATTCATATAGTTTTTCTATTGTGTGGTCGAAATCACAGCAAAAGAAACAGAACAAAAAATTCAGAAAATAAAAGCTACAGTAGGAATACAGCACAATACGACTCACCAGTTTTCTTTGTCGGGACACTACGAGACGTCTAGTCGTGTGAAGATTGTAAGTCGGTCCATCCTAATATATATACCCTCCTCGTGGGAAATACGGCAGATTCTACCGAGGACGTCCCAAGGTCTGTCAACACGTATGTCCGTTTGATAGCCTAGTTTTCGGACAGATGACCCACTTTGGAATGTAATTACAACCTGCGCAGAGGTAAACCAGTCACTGTCTCACTATCTAGTAAAAGGAAAAGACACGAACAGTCTTTTGTACTCCGTGCGCTGAAGCCATTGTCTAAAACTTGGTCTTTGTATATATATATAGTGGTTTGATGATGTTTTTCTTCTCTGGTAATACTGATTTTAGAATGTTTAGCTGCATTTTATCGCTAATGATGCAGATATATGTCGGATTTTATGCTATCTATTTGTAATAATTAGACACATGTTAAATCCTCTGTTTGTTCCCATCCCTACGCACTCTCTGTCCTTTACGTAAGGCCATAAGATAAGGATGTTTTGCAGGGTCTATATACTCATCGGGTCATCCTGATACTATCAGCCTATAAAACTTTACGTAACCTGGTAAAATCCTCTGTCCTTTACTTTCTGATAAGGCCATGTTGATTTCATTATATGGATGACATCCACGCGCGCAGGAATTTTCGTCCGTTTCCAAAAATTATTTCGACCATGCTGTAAATCGAACAAATGAGCGAATATGTGTCGTATGTTGCAACAAAAAAGGTATTAGAAAACGATATGCGATACTAATGTTACAAAATGGCATAATCAATTCGGGTAAAGAACAAAAATTTGAAGAAATGAAAATGAAGAGTCTTATTATTTGCCATAGCATGCTCTACTTGTTTAGTCATTTGTCCAACCTCCATGACCACGTAGATTTCATAATAAAGGAAACTTTTTTTTGGGGGGGGGGGGCAAACTTTTTTCTATTTTTCTCACGCTCGCATCAGTTTTCGGGTTCCCAGATGATCAAATCAACATGGCCTAAGGATGTTTTGCAGGAACTATAATTGGGTCATCCTGATTTATCAGCGTATAAAACTTTACGTAACCTGGTACATCTGTGTGTATAACCAGTCTTTTGCAAGGACGCGCGTTATGTAAGCTAAGCTATGACGTGGTACAAAATAAACCAATGATAACGGCTGTTCGGACAACCGGCCAACTAACAAACAACGCGCGCAAAACCGTACGGTTTTCTTTGAAGAAGGCAACACACTGAACAGCAAAAGTGAGTGAGTGAGTGAGTGAGTGAGTGAGTGAGTGAGTGAGTTTCTGTTGTTTTCGAATCACCAATGGTCAATATGTCCCTCGAAAAACGAAACGCAAAGAAACGCAGAACTTACTTTTTTCTATTCTACGAAGAGTAGAGAGTACCGTATTAAGTAAATTAGTTGCCCAAAATGTATTGACGGATCGTGTAGTTTTTAAAGGTCGTATTCGCGTATTTAAGGATGACATCCCGTTTATACTTTTCAAATGTCGTGTCAGAAAAGATATCGTCTGCAACGCGCAAAATTTTTATGCGAACATCCATCAAAAACCGAAAAAAACTCCGGGATTCTCTCAGGTGCACTACGTTCTACCGATGTACTATCTTTCCATATTTTGGTAATTTATAAAACAAACGAACAACACCATCACTCTGTCACTTCGCAATAACCTTACACACAAACACCAACTTTTAATATTCATCTGCTGTACAAACATATTCCGCTAGGGCTATTAAACCAGCCCCTGGTTCTTACGAATAGTTCAACCAATGACAAAAGTAATACAAGTAGATTCCAGGTCATTCAGCAACATATCATTAGATAACTAGCATCTACCAGGCTTCGGGAGGCGACTGGAAAGAGTAGAAATCGGCCAAATAGAGAGATAGCATGCCGAGGGAGTTTGTCTGCTGGTAAATGTTCTCTCCCAGCAGACCAACTTCCCCGTGTTATCTCTCTACTTGGCCGATTTCTACTCTTTCCAGCCGCCTCCCGAAGCCTGGTAGAGGGTATTAGATCACACCAGCCAAACCCAATCATTAAACACATGATATTATATATCTCTCGTATATGGCTCCGAAAATACCACATTGTTCAATACATACATAACACATTAGCCTCCATAGCATGCCAAAAAAATGGGGGGTTTGAGGGGTCTTCGTGGTCTTTTGGAGCTTTTATGTGCTATTTTCTGATTGCATATAGACAACATAGCCGGCATGGTTGTTAGAACTGGGCTAGAGCCGAAGACTACCAAAACCCCAGTTCTATAAGCCTGCTACGGAGGCTAATAACACACCATGTTCACTTTTGTGTTGAATGTCTGGACTTAGCCTTACAATAGTACAGAATTCACGAATCTATATACAGGATACATACACAGTTTACGATATAGTATATATATAGATATATAGATAGATATATTTGTGCACATTATACAGTTTATACAAATAGCATGGCTTTCCTCCTATGTGGCTATAACTATCCTAAGTTACTAGCGAAGAGATTTTGTATAAATTCAATCTCATAGAAGATATTAATAATTCTATATCTAGCTTCGAAAGGGACTTATAGCCCCTAAAAATGCTCTTACTGTCGTAGAGCCCGAAGATGACGTCACACGATCCGAGCAATGTACGAAAATATACGAAACAGCCAGTCGACGACGTCACAACCTCACGAACTCTTACCGAAAATGTACGAATATACGTAACGTGGTCTAAATCGAGATTAAAAAAAACCTTACTTGAGAGATTTATTCACTTCTTTGGTCCTCAGATTTCAGAATTATTTTTTCTAAACACCAAGGAACAACGAACTGAACTGATACGGCCTAAGCCGTACCTAATACGGTAAATATATATGTACACCTTAGCATATATTTAGACCAATAGGCACCAAATATCAACCATAAAATACACAAGACGTGTACATAGAAACAATTCTTTTCCATGTACATCTTCTATAAATGCCTCAATGCAAATAGATCACGTTCAAACGTTCTTACAAAATGTTTACTATGCAGTAACGCCCTCTAACGACAACCAGCAGCACTGCAGTAGGCGTTGGTGACTCACATTATCCCATACTATAAATGTTTAACTATTTACAATACAGAGCCACTTACACAACCATACCGCAGTTATCTCCAAGCAGATGTTGTCAAGCAAATCGTGACATCGACGTTTTTTCAAATGATATCGCCACGGACCCGGATGGTTTCGCCTACCAACATCTGCTTGAAGAGTAGAAAATCGCCTTATGACTACATTAGTTTTACTGATATGAATCTATTTATGATATGTTTTACTTGTTGTGGTAAACACTGAAGGAAACGATCCACAGAATGTTTTCCAAAACCCTAGATCTTGAAAAAATAAACCTTTGGCCCAATACAATCTCAAACAAGCTTTTACACTACAAGACAGGTTCCGTACCACCTTATCATAAGGTAGAGACCCACAGGTGGAGATAGTTGGATCACGTCTGCCGAATACCACCAGATATCCTGACAGGAGTAGCTCTTCTGTCGTCAACGCAAGGGAAACGATGGAGAGGCCGTCCAAAAGGACCTTGGTGGATAACTATGAAGAGAGAAACGAGGAGACAGGGCTTCTCCCTCGATGAAGCTACGAGAGTAGCAGCAGACCACACGACGTGGAATGACATTTTGTTGCCTCAAGTGACAACAAACCGTTCCTGAACGAACACGTCGAACCCCCTGTTCTATTTCCTTCTGGCCCTTCCCGCGCTGATGCGGCGGTGTTCGAAATAGAACACGGAGGTTCGACGGGTTCGAAATAGAACACGGGTTCGACCGGTTCGAAATAGAACACGGATGTTCGACGGGTTCGAAATAGAACACGGATGTTCGACGGGTTCGAAATAGAACACGGATGTTCGACGGGTTCAAAATAGAACACGGGTTTGACGGATTCGAAATAGAACACGGATTCGACCGGTTCGAAATAGAAAACGGATGTTCGACGGGTTCAAAATAGAACACGGAGGTTCGACGGGTTCGATTAGGAACGTTCTATCCGTAGTTTGAATATTGGGAACGGTCTACTGGCACAGAAGAGGGCTGAGCGAGCGAGTTACTTGTTGTGGTAAAACGTGTCCATCATATCCAGGAACTCTTCGAAAGTCACCACTTCGACTTTTCCTGCGGGTGGAAAAACAACAACGTGTCAGAGGCAAGACTAGACCTCTCTTGGGCTTAGCCAGCTTAGCGTTGCCGTATTATGTGGCCAAAACCAATGTATATAAACGAGAGAGTTAAACGATTTCGGCGAAGGTAAGGAAAGATAAACAGTGGAATCTAAGAACCGTCAAGCTCGCAGAGAAAAAGATGCGGTTGAACGAAATGAAGAAAGGCAAGACTGAGTGCAGGAAAAGGATGTTTCCACAACTCAGAGCTGCAGAGCACAGTGCGTCATCATCATCAAGGAAAGATAGCGGCTTGTGAGTGTCCAGTCTGAAGAGAGCAGATAAAGAGTGTTGTCCGTTGTGCAAAAGTGCTGCTTATCCAAACTGTGCATCGCAAATTTCTCCTCCTACAGTTTGAGTCATAGAATGTATCACCTCTTCACATGGACTTGACCCCCTGGAAACTTAGGCTTGATACCATGGAGAGGCAAGTCTCAAAATCAACAGTCTTTGCCCCTGTATGGTGTAGAGAAGCAGAGCACAGTAGCGGTTAGTGAGGTTAGTATAGAATAGTTCGGGTAGAGGTTAGAAGTTCGATCAACATAATATATGGGTTTTGCAGTTTGAGTAGAGGTTGGACGTCAAATGTTTAGAAGTGCAGTTAGACACGGGAGAAGTGAAGTAATTGTTTCGTTGTTATATAATGTTATATAATGATTTTACTGAAGCAGAATAACACACATACACAGTAATACACGAAAAGAAGTTAAAGTTTAGAGGGGATGGATACCATTCAAAGCTATAATTGCATGCACGACTTGTCAGTGAGTAAATGTAAAATTTCAAAGATCATCCTAGCATTCAGCATCAACAGTATCTGTGCATGTCAAAGTGTAAGCCATCCGCACAGTTGAACCCTCTTTCTAAATACATCTCAAAGTTCAGAAATCCATTGAGTCCACAGCCTAATATGTAGACGTCAAAGTTTAGAAATAAATCACCAGTACAAACCATGACCAAATACCATGACTAAATTTAAAAAAAAATACTGTTTGAACCCATAACCTGTGTACATGTCAAAGTTCAGAGGTCATGCCCTTACCGTTGGTGTCCACGACCCTCATCATCTCCTTGACCTCAGCAGGTGAAGGTCGATGACCTGCCCTGACCAGGATCCTCCTGACATCAGCAAGGTTGATCAGCCCGTCTCCGTCCACGTCAGTCATCTCAAACTGCTCCTTAAACTCTGAAGCGCAAGACGTGTGTTTGTTTGTTTGTTTGTTTGTTTAGAATAACCGGTAAACAACATTTAGGAGTAACACGGCTCAGTTATGTACAGTACTAAACCGGGATGGATCCCTTCTCTTTTCGAGAGGGATAGTGTCCAAGTGGGTTCTTTTACGTGCTCGAGGTCAAACACAGGGCCTCCGGCTTTATGTCATTTTCCTGACCGAAGCTATATATATCTTCCCATTGACACTAGCTTGAGGAAATAGATGTAAAGTACTAATACAAATGTAATAGCTATAGTCCCCTGCAAATTGTTCATTTGTGTGACAGGGGTCTTAGACTTTAACAAACATGTAGGTCCACAGTATGGTGTAGCTTATTACAGTGTAATATTCGTACAGCAGTCACCCAACGTAATCCAAAACAAAAGAGCCACCAGAATTTAGCGTAAACCGTCATCTCAAACTTTTGGGCTAGCTTATGCCGTAACTTGAACTTGAAATTTATCTTAGATCTGTGGAAAAAAAATCTTATCCCACCGTACCTTGTACTTGTTCCGCGGTGAGCCTACCGTGCCCGTTAGCCTGTGGGCTGGCTTGCCCCTCCTGTCCGCCGATGGTAGTCTCCACAGTGGAGGTCCGGATGTAGGTGGTCTTTCCCGTGTTCGGGTCGTAACTTTCCTCCATTTCATGCGCTACTCGCTCCTCTACAACTACGCCGCCCTCACCAGATGTAGATTCTGTGAAAAAATGACAGAAACAAAGAATGAAGAACTTTTAATGGTTTAAGGAAAAGATGAAGGTGAGAATGGTGGTTTTTCCGGTGTTCGGATCGTAACTCTCCTCAATTTCATGCGCAACTCGCTCCTCTACAACAACGCCACCCTCCCCAGATGTAGATTCTGGGGGAAAATGAATGAATTCTTCACTGAAAATGTGTTAATTGATTGATCTTATAAAAGGATAGGTGAATGAATGAATGACTTAATGAGTGCATTGACATCAGCCTTATCCGCCGGTACAGCTATCCTTCGGTGTGCTGTAACACACGTCCAGCTTTGTATGAATGAATGAATAATGAGTGGATGATGGAGGAATGAGTGAATGACTGAGTAGATGACTGACTGAGTGAAGGAATGATTTATGGACATCAACAGAATCGAATGAAAATGGTCGGATGGTTGTAATTTTCTATAACATTATGATTTACCTTCGTCGTCCGTGTCGACATCCGAGTCCTCGCTGTCGTAGTGTCCATCGTCCCGCGGCTGGGAGGACTTCCTCTGCCACACCATGATGGACGTGTCCATGCCGCCTGGAAAGGGAAAACATATGTTATCAACATGCTCCATTGTATCAATTTTATGTATCAATAATTGTCTAATAATGATCGCGAAAGGCAGACATTCTTCAAGTAATTATACTCATTGACTGAACTGAACAAGAGCGACGCAAATTGGGATGACCTGGGGTTGACGGTAAAAAATTGAGCTAGCTAAAGCTAACCCTGTCTTGTGTATTATTGAAAAAAAGTAAAGATACGAATAGTTCCTAACCTCCTATTGGACTAAATATCTCAGTGATAAAGAACACTTGGCTGCTATTGGTAGTTCTAAGTTTTAGCCACTCTAGATGTTTGGCTTCGAGGTGAACAGTCACAGGCTTCAGGGCATGGGGCCCAATAGGGCCCTGGCAGCAAGAGCTTGTTGAGGTTGTGGTGATTTTTTAAAGACTTTGTTAATAGACTATAGTTAAAGACTTTAATCCTCGGACAATGCCTATGCCAACTTGATAATACCTGACAGTTAGTTACAATTTTGCCACCGAAGGATCTGCTTCGGGGTAATTAACACAGATTCTAGTTTCTCCCACCTGCTGACACCAGGTAGGTGTCGTCATACGTCCATCGCACGTTGGCCACGTGACTGCTGTGTCCCACGTACTTCTTACAGATCGCGTGCTTGCCCTGGGAAATATAGACATGACATGAATATTGTGCTATTTACTTAATTGGTTATTACAATAAAGGTTAGACATAAATCGAGTTGCTTGAGTAACAGTCCTAAGCTAAGGGCATATGCTGGTACAACATCCAGTCACCTCACCATCAACCGTCAAAATGACCTCTTATCCACCCTACAACCGAAGCCATTTATAGGAAAGAGAGAAACCGTGCCACTGGTATAATGGAGTCAGAATGAAAAGGTGAGAGAAAGACAAATACACAAAACAATACTTACCGTTGCGGGGTAGTTGAAGAGCTTGACGAAGCCGTTGTCGTCTCCCGTGGCCAGCAGAGTCTTGCCCGCACCAACAAACAAACAAACAAACAAACAAACAAGCTTACCGTTGCGGGGTAGTTGAACAGCTTGACGAACCCGTTGTCGTCTCCCGTCGCCAGCAGAGTCTTGTCCGCACAAACAAAAAAAAAACACAAACAAGCTTACCGTTGCGGGGTAGTTGAACAGCTTGACGAACCCGTTGTCGTCACCAGTCGCCAGCAGAGTCTTGTCCGCCGACAGGCACGTGGCGTTCACATCGGTGACGTCACTGTACCACGGCCACACCCCCTCCACTTCCGGTCCCAGAACGGAAGTCCAGGTGGCCCACGTGATCCGCTCCAGCTCGGAGGCGGGAATGTTGACCCGCTTGCACCGCGGGACCTCGTAGAACAGACGCTCTTTAGCGCCGGAGTTGGTCTGCAGCAGACGGCCTGAACAAAACACCATCAAACATTATCATCATTAGGTGTTATAATACCTCTTTGCGCGTAATTGACTTCGAAGCCACTTTATGTCCTGACATTTTAATTCATCACTGTTTTTTTTCTAAATAAAAATTATAAAAAAATTATCTTTGAATACGTGTGGTGCAAGTATATCCCTGAAGGCTAGCCTGTAGTACACAATCTCTCGGTATTAGTGGCTGATTGTGCCCCCTCTCAGAGAACTTGTGGTCTTTTACCCTCTACCAGGCTTCGTGATGCGGTTGTAAAGAGTATAAATTGGCTAAATAGACAGATGAAAGAGAACAGTTTGCCGCTCCGAAACTGTTCTCTTAGCGCGGGCTAACTCCCCTGGTATGTTATCTTTATATGTGACCTATGTTTGTTTACGTACCGCTGACGTCCCAGTCCACTTGAGTGATATAGCTAGAGGACCCCCTACATGTTCTAGGGTATCTGTTTGTTTGTTTGTTTATTTGTTTGTTTACTTACCGCTGACGTCCCAGTCCACGTGAGTGATATAGCTGGATGACCCCCTGCATGTCCTAGGGTATCTGTTTGTTTGTTTGTTTGTTTGTTTGTTTGTTTATTTGTTTGTTTACTTACCGCTGACGTCCCAGTCCACGTGTGTGATATAGCTGGATGACCCCCTGCATGTTCCCGTCCGCTTCATCTTGTACACGTTGTACACGTCCACGAAGTTGTCATGAGACGCCACTGCGATGTACTTCCCATCTGCACAGGTACAACAAAAACAGCCGAGTGAGCAAAGCTACAACCTTTTCGCTAAACAGAAAGAAAAACACTCATATAACTAATCTTTAACCGACTCAACGAACAAAACGTCACTAATATAAAACAAAGAAAAGTTTCTAACTTTTAATGAAATAGGACGAAATAGACATCATGCAATTTTCTGATGGACGTTTCGAAAGAAAAGGCAGTATGTTTCAAACTTCTGATCAGACAGACAGAACAACGACTCTTCATACAAATTTTCGACTGACACTTTGAACGAAAAGGAAGTTGATGAAACATCGCGAAATGAATGAAACAGTTACATGCAAGAAATTTATAATTCTATAAAAGCAGAAGAATTTTATACAGAGATATGTAGGAGCTTGCCAACCATACTGTTTGTAGATTGAAAACCCATGCACTCTTCTCTACACAACCTGGACTTTCTAGCGCCTACCTGGTGAAAACTTGACGTCGGAAATTTTCTCCTTGCGGTGTCGGAACTGGGGTGACGCCGCCTCCAAATTTCCGCAGTGAAACATCACAAAACCGCCTGCAAAAGGGGAAACAGAGGGCGCATGCTTAGCGTCACTGGCTTAGTTTTTCAATGCTGGATGTTCGTTTTATCTTGGCAGCAGAACTGGGAAGCCCCTACAACTTGCAAAACTTGATTGCAAGATCCATGGACCAGTAGCACATCCTAGCAGACGTCTATCTAATGTTTTTACGTATATAACTGAGGGGCCCGACTTCTTCTCCGTCAGCTGTCAAGGGGTTCATGTAACGAAAACACATGTTGAAAACAAAGAACGCTACCAGATGTAGATGTAGATATGACTAATGGCTTTGGAACACTTGACTCAGGCGCATTCTTTATCTATATAACGATAGCCATTATGATTACAACCTAAGGGTCATGTGAAACATGAGACACACACACGGGCACACGCACACACACACACACACACACACACACACACACACACACACATACATACATACATACATACCAAAAACAATACCTTCATTTTTGAAAAATAATCTCTTACCGTCGATCATGCCCACCGCTATTAGCTCTCCGTCAGGTGAGAAGGCGCAGGTCCGCGCACCTGTCCGCAGCTTGCGTCCGCGCGTCAGCTGGTTCTGATCCGCCGCCAGGTCCCACACTCGCAGGGTCTTGTCTTCGCTAACCGTCACGCAAAGATGCTTCTTAGGGTGAGTGTCCAGACCCCAGACTTCGTTCTCGAGGTGGGTGCCCGTGTGGCCCTGGGAGGGATGAAGAGAATGAATGACTGAGAAAGTGGAGGAAAGAAGAACAGGTTCCACACTCGCAGCGTCTTGTCTTCGCTTACTGTTACACACAGATGCTTCTTAGGGTGAGTGTCCAGACCCCAGATTTCGTTCTCGAGGTGGGTGCCCGTGTGGCCCTGGGAGGGATTGAGAGAGAGTATGGTGGAATGAATGATGGGATAAATGAAGAAAAGGATGAAGAAATGACGGAAAGAAGGAAGGAAGGAAGGAAGGAAGGAAGAAGGGAAGAAAAGACAAGAATTACGGACGAAAGGAGGGAGGGAAGGAAGGAAGGACGGAAGGAAGGAAGGAAGGAAGGAAGGAAGGAAGGAAGGAAGGAAGGAAGAAAATAAGGATGGCCAAAATGATATCTGATTTTCTTGAAGACTCCTGGCCTCGCCTTAAAGAACATTAAGACAATTCCTCCTTACCTGCACGAGTATGGAGAAGAGCCCGTTGCTGAGGTCGATCTCCAGCACCTCTCCGTTCCTGGTACCGGCCAGGATGCGTCCGTCGGCGGGCAGGACCGCGCGAACCGCCGGGCGATCGTCCAGCAGGACCCCGCGGGAGTCCCGCGTCTCCGAGAACCGGTCGATGTTGTACTTCTTCAGGAACCGCTCAAAGTTGTCGTTCCACTGCAGGATGGAGCCGTCCTTTCCACCGGTAACCACGACGCCCTACAGATAAAAATATTACTGATAAAACAGGTCTAAGCAGATATAGTAGATCCTACGAAAGCCGCTAGGATGGACGTCTGTCACTACGACGACCTGTAAACGAAACATCACAGTTCTAAGCACAAAGTAGTTCCTAGGAAAGCCACTTGGATGGAACTGTCCTTTCAGCTAGTTACCACGACGCCCTGTAGATAAAAATATTACTGATAAAACAGGTCTAAGCACAGAGCAGTCACAAAAGAAGGGTGGAGTCGTCCTTTCCGTCGGTGACCACGACGCCCTGTAGAAAACATTAATTGTGCTTTACACTCTGTATTGACGAAATTTCACTGATAAAACCGGTCTAAACAAAGAGTAGCTAGAAACTACAATATCAGATAGGATGAACCGTTCTTTCCCCCGGTAACCACGTCGCCCTGTAGATTAAAAAAATCACTGATAAACATGGGGTCGTGTGGCATAACGGCAGAGCGTTCGTCTCGGAATCATCAAGAGGTCCCAGTTTTCGAACCCTGCCATGTCGCCGATCTTGTGCCCTTGGGTAATTATAAGGCACTTTACGCGACTTTCATCACGTAAATCAAGTGAAGATATTGTCTGTCCTGTATTTGTTTCTATGTGTGGGGCACAACACCAGCAACAGCTGCCTGTGTCCCACGTGTATTGCACTGTTGCAATTTCAACAAATCAAATCAATTACAAACCTTCTCTGGAATAAATTTGATGGAATTCAGAGGTCCGTTGTGCGCTTCAACCTCCTTCACGAGTTTGTTCCCGCTCCAGACATAGATGTCACCGTTCGCGCCACCGCTGTACACGTCATCTTCGGTACGCCCGAACTCCGCGCAAAGCATGCTGGTCATCTTCCCCACCTTACCGAAGATCCCACGCTTGGACTTGAAGGTGTTTCCTGTGGGACAAATGTGGAAAATGATCAATGAAATAAATGAATGTATATATTTATAAAAAAAAAAAAAACATTTTCTTCCCCACCTTCCCAAAATCCAACGCTTGGACTTGAATGTGTTGCCTGTAGGCCAAATATGGAACATAGTAAACAAACAAGATCGATCTTGATGTTTTCGACAAGACAACGAGAACATTAAACATGTAAAATTTTGATATTTAAGTGTTTGACATGTTTTGTCAAATTCGGTAGGTTATGTTTTACAGTCTAAAGGTTTGACTATGTAATCAATGTAAGAGTTCAATGCCCCCCCCCGCCCCCCCCAAAAAAAATCAACAACATATGGTGTATTCTAATATCTACAATTGAGTTATTTAGGGTAACAACGATGAGAAATTTGGTGGTGATTTCGACATTGCTTTGTAAATATGACCTGTAAGCATCCAAATGTTCATGCCAAGCTAGGAAATGTTGTAAAGACCCATTCTGTTGTACATAGAATAACATAGACGATAAGGAATCGTTGTTATCCATTTCCTTACCTGATCTCGTCCAGAAGTTTATATGTTTCTTGCCGACCGTCACCAGTTTGTTTGGGTTGTGCGGGTTGAACCTGATCTCAAACAGCAGATCCTTACTGCCCCTGTATTCACGTTCAACATACAGTTATTACATACGCTTGTTTTCATTGTCATACCTTACTTTCACTACCCCATCGTTAATCACAGAATCACAAGCACCTGGCAGAAAGTAGCCTGATCTACCAGGCTTCGGCCAAATAAAGAGATTTCATGCCAAGGGAGTTGGTCTGCTGGAGAGAACAGTTTGCCGCAAAATGTACTCTCTAGCGGAGCAACTCCCTCGGCATGTTATCTCTCTATTTGACCGATTTCTACTCTTTCCAGCCGCCTCCCGAAGCCTGGTAGAGGCTAGATAGAACGCACAGCTCGGTGGAGGCTCATAGCTTTTGTGCAGTTTCTCTATATTTCGCCAGAGGGCGCTTATGATACGTACGACTGTGATGTAGATCTTGTGCTTCAAAAGGACCGACAACATTTGAACTTAAAAACACGTGGTTTACCTCCGGAAGATCTGAATTTGTTGATATTTTCGTCTTTACCTTGTGGTGGCGAGAGGAGCGCCGTTCTTCCAGTCCCACAGCACGACGGTGTGGTCGTTATCCAGTCCAACACTCGCCAGAAGTTCGCCATCCCCTACAATAATTTAGAACGGAACGGTCTTAAATTCCTTGCAAGGGTGTCTAGAGCCTTGTGCTGGACTGTGCGTTAAGACAAAGTCGCCAATGTATTTTATGTACGAATTTTGGCCAGACTAAGAGAGAGCCAACTGTCGACTGAAATATCTTTCTTTCTTTGTTCATTTCTGAATTATCTGTAGTAACTTTCCATTACCATTTGTTTGACGTAATATCTTCGACCCACCTAAAACGTGTGTTCAATGTTCGTACCACCTTTATATTTCAAACAACGACAGAGCTGAAAGCGATGTCACCTAGAATGCTAACAGTAACAGCCTGACACCAATATGGCGTCACGTGATATGTCAGCTGACCTGAGAAGTCGAGTGCCGTGACCCCGCGCTGATGCTGACCCTGGAGGGTGATGAGGGTGCTGAGGTCGTTACCGTCCCACACGTGGATGGCCGGGTCCTTACCAACCTGCGGAACAAAATAACAGGTTCTGTATCTGTATCTGTGTTGACATCCAGAGTATGGCGAGTCTACATTATAGTCAGTCAGTCCTTTTGTATCTGTATCTGTATCTATAATGAACCGCCCTACGGCGTAACACTAAGGCCCGCGGTGCGGCGACAGCTGGCTATATTTCACGGCTATATTACACCGTAAGATCTGTCACATCTAACCTTTGTACATCTAAGTGGAACTATCTAGTGATGATGTCTATACTGTACTTGGTGGCATCAAGTTCCACACTGTACGATCATAGTTCTAGGAAAATGCGAGTTTACAAAAAGGTTTACTCTAGGTAACAAACAGGTGACAGATGTCCAGGTCTTCCGGTAAGAGCTTTTAACCTAAAGTTTAAAGGTTCAAGGCTTTGTGGTTCAAATTACAGAAACAGAAGCTAGTAGACAGTCTGAAAACACATCTTTCATTTTACCTGTCCGGTGGCGAAGACGTCGTTTTGCGGGTGCTTGGCCATAGAGATGATGTCGTCCGTATGTCGTAGGTAAAACCGCTGCAGGTGGTTGGTCTTGTCGTACAGGATGGCGACGGCAGCCACGTGGTACACGACCTCCCCACGACTCGTCAGGAACAGGTTATTACGACAGTCGTACGCGCGGTAGCTGAAGGGGGGATGGTAAGATGTTTGTTGTACGTGTAAGTGAATGAAATGATCTCGGACTTGATGAGAGTTACTAGTACTGTTCTACTGGTAGTGGAGCAGATAACATCAAATTTTGGAGGAATCTTTCAAATAAAAATCACATAAAAATCATGACTGTAGAATGTTTAGAACAGGAGATAAAAAGCCCGGAAGGTCGGCTGCAGTACCAAAAAGCGCCACTAGGGGGCGACAAAGGTCAAATCAAGTGGCCCGCGTACTTTTTCAAAAGAGTAATGTCTCATGAGTACTTGTACTAAGTTTGATGCTTGTATCACAATTTGAAAGATTATTTCAGTTATCTGCCCCACTATGGTTGTGACTGAGTAAACAGAGTCTGACGCTATGTTCAGTATTTGCATGTACCATCTCATTCACGAGGAATCTCTTTTCGACAAGAGAAATTGAACTGTTGAAGATTATCTTGATCCTAACCCAAACCCATTCAGGCATGGAACTAAATAGAGAAGGTTCTGGATAGTCACGAATATCCATTACCGTGACTGGGCAAATCTACGTTATTGGATACGTGGAGACTATCCAGAAGCTTGCCTGATCCTAACCCTAACCCATTCAGGCATAGAACTAGATAGGTACGGTTCTGGATACGATATAGAACTAGATTGGCACGGTTCTGGATACGATATAGAACTAGATTGGCACGGTTCTGGATATGGTATAGAACTAGATTGGCACGGTTCTGGATATGATATAGAACTAGATTGGCACAGTTCTGGATATGATATAGAACTAGATTGGCACGGATCTGGATATGATATAGAACTAGACAGGCACGGTTCTGAATACGTTAAGACCTAGATAGACACGGTTCTGGACGTAATAGAGACTATCCAGAACGGTGCCTGATCCTAACCCTAATCTATTCACATATTACTAGTAGTAGATAGGCACAGTTCTTGTTAAGATACCTACCCGTGCACAAAGACCAGCTCCAGGCTGTCGGCAGGGGGCGCTTTTCGGTCCACCGTCTTGGTCTTCCTCTTCTTGGTGCGCTTCATCTCGGTGACGTCATCTCGGTAGACCGGTCGCTGGTACAGCATCTCCCCCTCGCGCTCGATGTCGGAATCGCAGTCCTCCTCGTCCGACGCTTCCGAGTCGCTATCGTCGTCGTCCTCAGATTCAAAAGCTGTAGGAAAATAACAAAAAAGAATCAATCAACAAGTCAATTGGCCAAAAAAAACATATGTAACACACACACACACACACACAGTAACGTACATGTCCTTGGTGCTGAACACTATCCACACACACACAGTAACATGCCTGTCCTTTGTGCTGAACACTATCCACATACACGCGCACACAGTAACATGTCTGTCCTTGGTGCTGAACAGTATCCACACACATACAGTAACATACATGTCCTTGGTGCTAAGGACTATCCACATACACGCACACACAGTAACATGCCTGTCCTTTGTGCTGAACAGTATCCACACACACAGTAACATGCCTGTCCTTTGTGCTGAGCACTAGCCACACACATACAGTAACATACCTGTCCTTTGTGCTGAACACTATCTACACACACATACAGTAACATGCCTGTCCTTGGTGCTGAACACTATCCACATACACACAGTAACGTACATGTCCTTGGTGCTGAACACTATCCACACACACACACACACAGTAACATGCCTGTCCTTGGTGCTGAACACTATCCACATACACGCAAACACAGTAACATGTCTGTCCTTGGTGCTGAACACTATCCACATACACGCAAACACAGTAACATGTCTGTCCTTGGTGCTGAACACTATCCACATACACACAGTAACGTACATGTCCTTGGTGCTGAACACTATCCACACACACACACACACAGTAACATGCCTGTCCTTGGTGCTGAACACTATCCACATACACAGTAACATGCCTGTCCTAGGTGCTGAACACTATCCACACACACACACACAGTAACATGCCTGTCCTTGGTGCTGAACACTATCCACATACACAAACACACACACATACAGTAACATGCCTGTCCTTGGTGCTGAACACTATCCACACACACACACACACACACACACACACACACACAGTAACATGTCTGTCCTTGGTGCTGAGCAGTATCCACACACACATAGTAACGTACATGTCCTTGGTGCTGAAAACTATCCACACACACAAACACACACACATACAGTAACATGCCTGTCCTTGGTGCTGACCACTATCAACGCACACACACACAGTAACATATCTGTCCTTTGTGCTGAACACCATCCACACACACAGTAACATGCCTGTCCTTGGTGCTGAAGACTATCCACACACACACACACACAGTTACATGCCTGTCCTTGGTGCTGAACAGTATCCACACACACACAGTAACATACATGTCCTTGGTGCTGAAAACTAACCACACAAACACACACACACACACATCGGCTGACTGTCGGATGTGTCGTCCTCAAATTCAAAAGTTTCCAAAAAAATCAACAAATCAATCAACAAATGAATCGATCAATCGATAAGCTTTTCGTACTGTAGACGGATCAAGGGCCAAAAAGTGGCTCAAAAGACCAGGTGAAATAGTACAGGTTCACTATAGCTTTAGCTGTATCGTTTGTATAAGAAATAGCCTGGATGCCAGACCCATAGCACACTCAAAGTTTTCCAGTGGACAGTATCCTGCACACTGCATAACTTTGTGTGCTATGTGTCTGGCTATGTAAGAAACTAACTTTTCATTAGGAAAAAAACGTAAAACGAAATGAAAATGAAGAGATTATTAGAACTGAAACTCAAACTCAAAAACACGCAAGTGCAACAACACACACTTCGAAAACACGACAAAACAACCAGAGATGAAGTGAATGAATGAATGAATGAATAAATGAATGAAACAAAACACGTCAGTACAACAATACACTTCGAAAACGCAACACAACGATGAAATGACGTGACTGACTGAATGAATAAATAAATTAATTAATGAATGAACGAGTGAATGAATGAATGAATGAATGAATAAATGAATGAATGATAGACAACAGCACTGCACAACACACCGTCTCCAGTTGCAGCACCTTGTATGTCGTCATCACCCTTCCCGGCGTCCCCTCCGACCAGTGCCCACTGGAAAATGGCGTGATCGCCTCCACCAATGGAGATCAGCCTCTTGTAGTCACCCGTGAACCTGACGTTCGTCACGTGGGCTGAGTGACCTCCGTACTTCTTGAACTTTGCCCCTGGATTTCAGAACAAATTAAAAGGTCATTGTCTTATAAGCTCCATCTGTTCTTACATTTACAACTGTTTTAAGAAGCGAGAAGAAGCAGAACCTGTACATATGTAGTTTTACTATAGATATATTTAAGTCTACCATCGCTATTTACCATGACCTGTACTTAGTTCGAATGAGTAAAAATGTACAATAAAGGTCTTTCATCAATTTTCCTGTTGAACTATGTGATTTGTTTGGAATTTCAAAGCATTCATGAGTTACAATCTAACACAGATGTTGATATACACTATCTATCTAAAGTTAAATGGTACGGTACCCCTAGACGCTAGAGGTACCATTGACTGATTATTTTTCGAAAATGTGCGCGCCGGAATGGTTGAAGGGGATGCGATGACGTCATGTGAATATGTTCGACATGACGTCAGAGCCGCCATGCTGTCCGAACCTGAATGAATTGTGCAAATACGTGACCTTAGATCGAATTACAAATACAAAGTCGAATTCACCTGGCACCTTTCAGGTTTAATCATCAAACATGGTGGACATATCGTGAAAGTTCATCTGTGTTGATAAAAGTCATTATGCAGCAAGTTTAAACTGTAATGTCCAACACAAGAAATTGGACTCACCCACATTTTGGAGGTCTCACAACATATGCACATAGAATCGCCTGGTCATTCAGTCTCACTGGACAAAGTAAGAATCTTGGACTCAGAACCGGACTTCTTTGCACGAGGGATTAAAGAGGCCATCTACATCAGGGCATAACAACCATCCCTCAACAGAGACGGGGGGCGCCACAGACTTTCTGTAACCTATGATTCACTGCTCACGGAGTCACGTGTGTTATCTGCGTGACGTCACGGAAGCGGTGGATTGTTCATTCCTTGACAAAGACTGGAGTTGTACAGTCGAAACTTTGGGTGAGCTCAATTTCTTGTATTTGGAAATTACAGTTTAAACTTGCTGCTTGGTGGACATTGCTTACGTCAAAGTCACATGAGTGCAAACATCTCAGTGACCTGTAGTTACCTTTCTTGGTGCAGGGGAACCGCATGAGCTTGACCAGCCCGAGGTCGTCTCCCGTAGCGATCAGGTTGTCATGGAAACTGACGTCAGCGGCGTTGACGTCAGTCTTGTCGGCGTACTTGGGCCAGATGCCGTTGACCTCTGACCCCAACACGCCCGTCCACGTGTCCAGCGTGATGGACCTGATCTCGTCCGACTTGGTCACGTGATCGCCGGCTGAACACGAGGGAAACAAGATAAAAGATAAGAAAATTTTATTTTTCTCTCTCAAGTCTTAAAATATGATGAAGAAGCATTTCAAATCCTCATTTGTTGGGTCGTGTGGCGTAGCGGCAGCGTACTCGACTCGGAACCAAGAGGTCCCGGGTTCGAGTCCTGATATGCCACCGATCTTGTGCCCTTGGGAAAGGCACTTTACACGACTTTCCTCACTTAACTCAAGTGAAAATGAGTACTTGTCCTGCATTCGTCCTCTGCGTTGGTGGCGGCATAAAATAAGATGATATAACTAGAGTGTGCTGTCACTATGTTAAGTCATGAAATGTTGGAATATTTAAAAAGATAGAAAAACCCCAATATCCTATTTTGGCATACGTTTGTTTCCGACCTACCGTTGAAGCCTGTCGCCTTGTAGTACAGCCTCTCCCCGGACCCGTCGTTAGTCACGATGTATTGGCTGTCTTTGGACCAGTCCAGGTGCGTGATGTAGCTGGATGACTTCCGGCACTCTCCGATCTAAGGGGGAGGGGAGGTACCAAGTTTTATCAAAATCCATCCAAAGTTTCTTGAGTTATCGTGCTAAACCACACACAGACACACAAAACACACACACACACACACACACACACACACACACACAAACACAGATACCTACCTGTCCTTGGTCCTGAACACTAGCCACACACACAGAAGTAACATGCCTGTCCTTTTTGCTGAACACTATCCACACGCACACACAAACACATACACAGTAACATACATGTCCTTAGTGCTGAACACTATCTACACACGCACACACAAACATTACATACCTGTCCTTCTTGCTGAACACTATGCACACACACACACACACACACACACACACATACACACACACATACACTGACACACACACAGTAACATGCCTGTCCTTGGTGCTGAACACTATCCACACACACGCACACACAGTAACATGCCTGTCCTTGGTGCTGAACACTATCCACACACACGCACACACAGTAACATGCCTGTCCTTGGTGCTGAACACTATCCACACACACACACACACAGTAACATACCTGTCCTTGGTGCTGAACACTATCCACACACACACACACAGTAACATGCCTGTCCTTGGAGCTGAACACTATCCACACACACACTTACGCGCTACGGAAAACATAACCTTCTTGGTGAAGGTACTGAGAGGGACTAGCACTGGGGGTCCTCCCCACCTTGTTGTATCCATCTTCCACGTCATATATGTCGACCCGGTTGTCGTTAGACCCCACTGCGAGCCTCTCGCCGTTCGGGGAGTACTTCAGGTCGTGGATCACCTCTTTTCCCGCCTGGAGACGCTGCTTCTCTGACAGGTTACTATGGAGACAAACATGCCGGTTTTAGTGCATTGTCGCCTGTGCTCAAATCTAGTCTCTAGTATCCTTTGGAGGCTTAATGAATAGTAGAAATCTGCCTGAATGTTGCTAGCCAGGAACTAGGCCATAGCGGGTCTAGTTTGCCTGCATAGAACTGGATCCTCTGTGGCCGGCCAACTCCCCTTGCCAGCTACATTTTTTACATTTACTATTCGTGCATGTATATATGTTTGTCATTGGAATCAACGTGGTATCGTACAAACTAGAACTACATTACTGTAGATATGCACATTTGCTTAACAATATAATCAACATTAGATATAGAATAAATTCTTGAAACGGCGTTTTTCCGAGACGTCGATGAAAGTTAGGCATTCATTGTAATGACATGCACAAGAACATTGTTACTCAAGCAACTGGATAGACTTTAAAAACTGTCAAACGTTTCAGGTAACATCCGCTCATTTTAATTCGTCAATATGAATGACTGAGCTCGAGTCTTCAGAGTAACAGTTTACTTGTGACGTTTTCCTGAGTTAAAGTAAAAGAAAAACTAGAAAGGTAACATTTTGCAAAGCAAATGCATAATGTTTACCTTCGCATATGGTCTGCTCTGTTAATTCGTACTCAAATAAGATTCATATATATGGTCAGACAGGAGTCTAAATCCCTTCTGCTATAAAATTGCAACATTATGTAACCCAACACCAGTTATCAAGGTGATAGACGGTCTGATTCAGGTCATTGACCAGGTCAGAGGTTAGTGTTTGGAGAAGAAGAAGAGGAAACGTAGCAAAAATACTGCTTTCCTTCGGTAAACATAACTACTTACATTCCGTCCAGAATCATCACGCTTCCGTCTTCAAACCCTACAGCAACATGGCTCCCGTCCCTGTTGAACGCAACGGAACGCATCGGCTGATCCAGCTCCTTCATTAGCTTTAGCTTGCGGTCTTTCGTGTCCCAGATTCTGTGGAATCCCAGTTCAAGATTAGAATTAATCAGTAACTTTCTAGTTAGCGCTTGAGTAGAGCCTAGTTGCTAAATACCGAAGGTTTTGCTGAAAGCTTATAGTTAAATGTGAAGAGATTATATACTATTAGGTGTGACAGACCGCTGGGTGTAATACAACAAGCTGCCGCACGTGGCGTGCCTGCTAAACTGGTATGGCTGTTCAGATAGAGACACAGAAGCTGATGTGTTACGCCAAAAGCGACTGTAACGACTATACAGATACAGAAGCCGTTGTGCAACTTATAAGCCTAAGGACCCTTATCCAGGCTGTTTAAAACTGATTCTGCCTACATAGATACAGAAGCTGTGTTACGCCGAAGGTTGGTTGTACAGTCTTTACAGATACAGACGATGGTGTGCTGCACCGAAGGGCCCTTATCCAGGCTGTTTAAAACAGATACATAGATACAGAAGCTGGTGTGTTAAGCTGAAAGGCGGTCGTAACGACTACACAGATACAGAAGCTGGTCAACTTTGTATGAATATTTTGCCATACCTTAATTAACCCGTTACATTTGTTGTCCAATTAAATTCTTCTTTGTGAATCGCGTCAAAGACACTCAACTGACCTGACAGTCTTGTCGTCGCTAGCAGTGGCGAACAGCGATCGTTTAGGGTGCGTCGCGAGTCCCCACATCTCTCCCTCCGCGTGTCCCCGCATCAGGGCGTCGGTACTGCTCACCGTCGGCCCGTCCACACGGAACTCGAAGATCTGGTTGTCCTGAGTTCCTGCCAGGACGTTCTTGCCTTGCCAGCACACACTGCGTACTGTCGTGTCTTTGGGTGAGAAGAAGAGCAGGGTGGTATTTTAAAGGCTTCACCAAGAATGTATTTTGGAGGTTGTGGTTTCAATTTGAGCTCAAAGTCAGTTTTACCATCTTAACTTTACATTACCATCTTGATGTTGCGCAGTTAAGTCATAGTCTTTTGAGACTGACAGAGAGACGGAGACTGACAGAGAGACAGGAGAGAGAGAGACAGGGACAGAGAGTGATTTACTGTCACTAGAGTACTGAAAGGCTGCTATTACAGATTCTTGTGTCAGCCCTGCCAGTTGTAAGCTCATCACAACTCAGCCCCTGGCTGCAAAATCACAGTAGCGTACCTATTAAATATAACCAATACACATTGATAAACAATAAACAACGAAAACTTTCAGATCACCTTCTCTGCCGTACTCCTTGCCCTCGCGAAGTTCCCGGATGTCGCTGATGACGTTGAGGTCGGTGTCCCAAAGCCTGATGGTCCCGTCACGTGACGCAGTGGCCAGCCCGTCCTCCCCCAGGTACATGGAAATGATGGCGGCCTGGAAATGGAAATATAATTTAGATCAATCGATCGATGGATAGATAGATAGAAAGATAGATAGATAGATAGATAGATAGATAGATAGATAGATAGATAGATGTAGATAGGTAGATATAGATAGGTAGATATAGATAGATAGATAGATAGATAGGTAGATATAGATAGATAGATAGATTGATAGATAGATGTAGATAGGTAGATATAGATAGATAGATAGATAGATGGGAATATAATTTAGATCAATCAATCGACCTATCGATCGATCTATAGATAGATAGATAGATAGGTAGATAGATACTTAGATAGATAGCTGATAGATAGATACTTAGATAGATAGATAGGTAGATAGATAGATAGATAGATAGATAGATAGATAGATATATTAGATAGATAGATAGATAGATAGATGGATGGATGGATGGATGAATGGATGGAAGGATGGATGGATGGATGGATGGATGGATGGATGGATGGATGGATAGACAGATCGATAATTTTGGGTTGGACGTAGCCTCTACTTAAGAAGCGGTTGTAAAAGTAGAAATTGGCCAATTTCTAGTCTTTCATGCCTATTCGGAAACCAAAGGCAAGCTAGACTTGTCACTATTGTATGTGTCCTTAGTATGAGAGTAGGTTTTAAAATATCTTAGATATGCATGATTTTTAGAATATTGGAGTTGCATACAAATACCAATAATTGTTGATAATTGACAAGTAAATGAAACATGTAGTGGAAAAGAATAGGAAGGAACGTGGCTTACAGTAAACAAACAGACAAGCAAACAAAGCTTACTGTATGTCCCTCCACTGTCCTCTCTAGGTTGTTCCCGCGCCAGATCATGATATGCCCGCTGACCGTTCCGCTGAAGGTCACGCCGTCCTTGAAGGGCGCCACGGTTAAGATGGTGGTCACCTCCTCCTCACCGAACACACCTGTGGAAACGTCACGGAACATGTGTACACGTCACCGAATGTTGTGCACAAACTGTGAGCGTCACAGAACACACTTATAATTTACACTTGAGGAGTATAATGTCGTCGAATAATGAGAACGCTTGTGCTCTGTGGTTACCATGTGTTATTGTTTGACAGCATTGTAGTTTGTATCGATATATTACATGTGTATTACATGTACGACAGGGCATAAGTAGCTAACAGAAATAATTGACAAGCTAATTTTGTGGATCCAAACAAAAAAGTCGAGTCAAGGTAATGCAGTAAAATGGTCACCGAACAACGTAACGTTACATCATGGAGTTGTATTTAACCTCCTTGGTTACATGTATACTACAGAATATTACATGTACATCAACTAGTCTTTTTCTATGTATTATATCAGATAGATCTTGTCATTATACTATGTCATTTCATAGTTTTAAACCCTAACCGTTGTGGCTGGTGAGTGAGTTGTCCTGCAGCTCCCAGAACTTGATGTGTTTGACTCCGCAGCTCACCAGTTGGGCGTTCCCCTCACTAAAGGGGTTAAACCTCATCTCAAACACCTGAAAACAACAACACAGATTGGATCAGATCTTTACATTGTATGACGTTTATCCAATCGGCTTATAAAAAATATATACTATGTTATGTGTACAAGATGGCACAACGTAGCTCTGAACTGCAATGTCTCTTAAAAATACATGTAGAACATTTGATTGATTGATTGGTTGGTTGGTTGGTTGGTTGGTTGGTTGGTTGGTTGGTTGGTTGGTTGGTTGGTTGGTTGGTTGGTTGGTTGGTTGGTTGGTTGGTTAAACGATAGGTCGATTGGATGATTGATTGATTGATTGGTTGGTTGGTTGGTTGAATGAGTGCAGGTCTTTGAATAGCCAGCCGTTCTTGGGATTCGAGGGATTTGCCATAGTGCAGAGTTCCAACGTCCATGGGATTATCCAACCAGTAAAGAAGGTAGCCCAGGATAGTTAATTGTCTATTATTGTTTACATGGATGTAAACGTATGGCTTACCTTCTGCGTGTGTCCCCTGGCGCTGGCCAACAGTTTGCCCGACCGCCATTCCCACACGTTCACCTGGTTATAGTTGTCCATCCCCACAGACACAAGATGCTGCACCCGATACATAATAACATAGATGGTAAAGACATTGTTCTGACTTTTTGGTACCACATGTATTTTATTCTTACCTTTATCGTTAAAGATATGCAAACAAACAAACCAAGGAACTACATGTTAGGGTTAATAATAGTAATAATAACCTTTATTGTACATTCATGCCCTACCGGGCTAAGTACAGGTGAACAGATGAAATAGGTAATATACATGTTTGTTGTACAAACAGCTCTAAATCTACTCTAATAATAATAACCTTTATTGTACATTCATGCCCTATCGGGCTAAGTACAGGTGAACAAATGTAGTACAAATGTAGTACAAATAGTCCCCGACCCTCAGACATGAGGATGGGACTAGGTAAAGGTAAGGTAAAGTACAAATAGCTCTAAAACTACACTAATACAGAGGTTCGGCTTCTTCTCGTTTCTTTGGGATGTTGAAAATACAATTAGAAATGGGTTTGTTTAATACAGGATGATCAAAGCGCATAAGAAATTTTTTTAAGAGAATTTTTTTAATATTAGTCAGATATTGGAAGTATTAATGTTTTCACCTTTCCGTCCCCGTCGAAGTTGAGAGACGAGATTCCGTGCGTGTGACCCCCTCCCTTGAGGATGGACACAGTATCCAGGGTTCGGGTGTCCCACACACAGATGTACGGGTCCTTTCCGATCTGTCCTGTGGCTACGAGTTGCTTCTCCGGGTGGATAGCAAGACTAGGGCAGAAGAAAGACATTCGTTTAAGTACATGTATTCATATTGGATAAAGAAAGACCGTGGTAAGTTCATTTATCAATGTTGTTAGGACGGGGAGGGGGGGTGGTAGACGGTCTCCACACACAGGTGTACGGGTCCTTCCCGATCTGTCCTGTGGCTACCAACCGTTTCTCTGGGTGGATAGCCAGGCTAGGGCGGAGGAAAGAACGTGGTAATAGTTCATATAAGTATTGTAAACATTGGGGAGGTATAGACAACAAAATGCCTCTAGCTGCGTTTCAGATGGATCTCCAAATTATGGGGAGAGAAAAGAACACTGCCAAGTTTGGGGGAGGGGCATATTTTCGGGGGTCACCGCCATTATAGGACAGGGGACGGTATAGACTTAAGTTACCTTTGACCAAAATCCATTACTGGTGTCATGTGTCAATATTTTCGGGTCCTTTCCCGTGTGACCTAAAGTGAAGAAGGGTGGTTGGTTGTCTACCTTGTCTACCTTTCATTCAGACTCGACAAAAACTACACTTTCTTCCACTTTTTCTTATCGTCCCTACACACCCCTTCGGCTGAAATGGTGCATCCCTGTCCCTACCACACGATGTCGTCGCTGTGGCTGAGGAACACATTTTACGCATGCTTGTTATGGTCGTACACGACTTCAGACTTGGCAAAAAACTCTACTTTATTCTACTTATTCTTATCATTTCTAAAACACCCCTTCACCTCAAATGGCACATTCCATTTCTCACCTCACGATGTCGTCGCTGTGGCCGAAGAACACCTTCTGCGCATGCTTGTTGGGGTCGTACACGACGCCGACTCCCGCCACGAAGTACGCGACCTCCTTGTCAGCCGTGTAGAACAGGTTGTTACGACACTGGTTACCCCGGTAACCATATACCCATTCCAGCTTCAGCTGGTGCGGAGGGGGGGTCTTGTCAGCGTTAGGGTCCTTTTTCGTCTCCTGTGAAAGAACGAAAACGTACATTAATTTTCAAGCCGGGACCCCGTGTGGGCCACTGTCATTCTTTTAGAACGTAGGCATTGGATAAAAAAATCTACATAAAAAAAAATAATAATAAACAGAGACAAGGACAAACTGGCGATCGCATTCTTCTTGCAGGAACGCACTGTGTGGTAAAAAAATGTCAGCTGAAATAATCTATCAACAAGACATGAAAGAAACTGAAATAATCTATCTACAGGATCTAAGAGTTGAAATATAATAGCCACGAAACAAGCCAGCCTTTATTTTGGTTCTAGCCCCTACCGAAAGGACAGTGAGTGGTTCAAACCTTACTGTATGGTCTCCTGAATGACAAGGATGTCTTAAAAAGGGTGATAGCCACCTGCTATTTCTATTCTTCCACAAAAAACCGTTCTGGTTAGACTGTGAGGCTTAAACAACTTACTCACAGCGTGCTCAAGGCACCCGAGATAACCTAGCTACAGAATTTGAAATGCGATTGCCAAATAACAAGCCTCCATTGCCGTCCTGGCCCTTGAGGCCTTCCTTTTAGCGGGTGCGTAAGTGATGGTCCTCAAATGGCCTTCAATATTATGACGGGGAATTTTAAACCCATATCTCATGGTTAACATCTATCAGTCACCTGTCATGTCATTCCTTCCACAAATGTGGTAAATGTGGACCGCGACGGGGGCTGACATCGTCTACCAGATACCTTTGACCCAGTGTTGACGTCACACTTGAAAGACGCCACGTGACAATTCTCACTGGGCCAGTCTACTGAGGAAGACCAGAGTGACTGGTCGAAAGCTCTATGTGAGAGAACTTTATTGTGTTGGATCAAATGTTTTAACTTTAAACAATTATTACATAAATATCTACCGTTCTGGCCCTTGATGCCTTCCTCTTGGCGGGTGCGTAAGTGATGGTCCTGCGGGCAGCCGGCTCCTCTCTCCGCGCCCGGTGCCCGTGGTCGGAACGGTGCGACTCCTGTTTCCTGTGGGTCTCCTCCCGCGGGCTCTCCTTGTTCTTCCGCGCGTAGCCTTCCTTCTTCTGCTTCTGTCTGAACTCCAGCGGTGGTAGTTCACTGCAGAAAATGCCGATTAGTTATTATTATTATTATCATTATTATCATCATATTAGTAAATGAATAACTACAGTCCTGGCTCTCCTTGTTCTTCTGTGCGTAGCCCTCCTTCTTTTACTTCTGTCTGAACTCAAGCGGTGGCAGTTCACTACGGGGGAAAGTCGCTTTGTTATTGTTCAATCTATCGATATACACCCAATTACGCTGCCTCGTCGGCAAATTAGAAAAGTCTCAACCGCAGGTCAATGCATTGGAACGTAGTTTTCTTATTGTTCTATCGCTGAGTATTAGTCCATCGTACTCGAGGAGGACCCTATCTATCCCTGCACATCCAATTAAACTGCAAATAAGACAAGCAAATAAGATAAAGACCCAACGGCCTATCTAGAAAAAAAATTATTATTTTTTTCTCTGAAGCCCCGTTCACGTCCAATCGTACGGCGGCCTTCCTGTTGTTTCTTTCTCAGTTCATTCAGTTTTTTTTCAATCTGATTTAACTTGCAGCTCTTCATTTCCTTCTTGCTGATAGACGAAAACACAATTCATAATCTCAGTGAGAACCTACTTGTTCCGTTTGGTGGAAGAGTAGAAGGTCTGTTTTGGCGCCTGTCCGTACTCAACCCTCTTCAGTCCCTCGTTCCCGACGGCGACGTAATAAGAGTCGTGTTGAATGTCCGCCACTTCACGGACCGGCCTCCCGTCTAAACGGTACAACCTAAAACGAAACAGAATATAATGTAGAAGAATAAATAGCAGGTACAATGTATGTCGACTCTAACCATGTATATAAGGCCCTACTACTATAAGTAGTATGAGTCGTGTTGAATGCCTGCCACCTCACGGACCGGCCTTCCGTCTAAACGGTACAATCTACGGGAAAACAGAAATAGATGATATATAAGACGAACTTCCATGGCAATTGTAGTAGGTACAATGTTCGGCAACCGGAAACCATGTACATGTACATGGGTTTTGGAACTCAACAACATGGTAGACACTAGTCAAAGGAGAGTGTTAATGACAGTTACATCAATAGCGAACTTCATGGTTTGGAGTTGTTAAGTAAAATATCAATACAATCGATTTGCCGATTGATTGATTGATTGACATATTCCCTAAATATGGACCTAATTCCACTGAAACCTTTTCCACAATAACGAGCGAATTAAGGAAGAAAACATTCATTTTCGAAAGAGATATCGATAAAACAGCCTATGAATCGATATATTGATTGATTGATAGATGGATGGATGGATGGATGGATGGATGGATGGATGGATGGGTGGATGGATGGATGGATGGATGAATGGATGGATGGATGGATGGATGCAAGGATGTATGTATGTATGTATGTATGGATGGATGGATGGATGGATGGATGGATGGATAGATGGATGGATGGATGGATGGATCGATGGATAGATGGATGGATGGATGGATGGATGGATGGATAAAAAGATGGATGGATAACTTACTTCCTGATGGCTCCTGAGTCGAGTGAGACCTTCTCCTGTACCATCTCCAACAGGACGTCCCAGGTGCACTTGTTCTGCAGCCAGGCTTTCTTAAACAGCAGCTTAGACGGGGGCGTCAGGGTGTCTCCGTTACGGAATATGCTGGAAAATGCAAGAGGAAAACCATTTTAGACCCTCAGAACAAGCCTTGGTGAAGTTGTTGTGTATTTAACAGCAACAGTGCTTAAACTGTATGAGCAAAACCCTCTCAGACCCTCCGGCCTCTTGACAAATTCGCCGTATTGTTTTATCAAACAGCAAACATGCGCGAAAAAAAATTAGAGAAAAAAGCTTTTTAGGTCTTCTGGATGCAAATGAAAAAAAAACATTAATTAAACAGTTAGAATATTGACACTCTTGAATACTAGTATACTACTTATTGGAAGAGACCCTGACCAATCCATGTCAAATATGTTTCCTTGTCTTTTTTTAACAGGCCTTCCATGTACAACAGTAAATACACCCCGGCAGACGACATCTAATGGTGTAGCCCTGCCTGTCTGTCACACGCAACATCTACTAGTGGGAGAAGGACTTATTTGGGCAATGCGTAATTAGTTCTGCACAAAGCCGGCTCCCACCCTTGTCCTTTTAAACAGCAGCTAATAGACCGTCTACATATAATAGAAAATGCATCCCAACAGACGAAATTTTTTGAGAAAAAAAAAGGATAAGGATACGGACAAAGCGAGGCTGCACTCAAGTTATACACTTATTTTGATAGCCCCACTTCTGTATCGGTCTTTCGGCGTATTAAAACACCCCAGCTATGACATTTATCATGAGTCTTACTAATACAAAATAGATAAATAATAAAAAGGTGTGCGCTGAAAAAAAAAACGTCAAAGCCCCTAAAATACGGCATTTAATGGTACAGCCTACTCTGTCACACGCCACGCAGCCGCATCTACTAGTTGGGGAAGAACATATTTGGGCAAAGCGTAATATTACGCCGGCACAAAGCCGGTACAGATCCTTTCTCCTCCTTCTCATGTCTTCATTAACTCCGAGGATTAGCTCCTCTTCATCGGACGGTCGCCTGGCAACGGGGGCGTTGCCTAGCAACGGGGACAATAGTCACTGACATCAGGAGCTTGTCTCCATGGAGACAGAAGAAGATGATCGCAAACAAGTCGACTTTATTGTCGATAACAAAGTCGCGCTAGCAACAGGTGGTAGTAAAAAATAAGCCAGGCAATAAAGGGTGAAGGATAAACAGCAAGTCGCCTAGTGAAAATTGCTTCTGCGTGTGATGCAAAATGAAAAATAACGTTTAGAATTAAAATTACCCAGCCGAGAAATTGTACTTAAACATTCCAGTCCAAACATTTACTCTCAATGTTTGCTTACAAGACAGTCAGAGATGGCAGACTTCCGCATATTACGCAGACATACGCACAAGCACAAGCATGCTTTTTCACGCACAGGCACTGACATGCACACACAGATGGTCAAACGCACACAGAAAGATACAGACAATCCAAAAATAATGCTTAACAAATAAATCAAAATTGAGCCTCTGTACACTTGAAGAAGCCATACAGGCGAAACCGGTCGTGTAACAGGCTTAATAAAATTTCTAAACGGGAACTATGCGGCTCCAGATGTCTTACTGAGGGACGACTGCGTGTGTGAGATGTCGGTTAGCTTGAGGAATGAATCCCCTCTACTATATAAATAAATATAAGATTTTAAGTTTTGAAAAACACATAAAACAACACTTACTGTATGATACAGATGTCCTGGTCGACCTTCCGCCATTTTGCCGACACCTGAATCTTCCTCCTGACAATCGGCTTCGAATCCTGAGTCTGGAAAAAAAACAAAAAGATACTGAAAACGCCATATTTTAACCCCAAAACCTGCAGCTATACATGTATCATCCGAACTCAGGTCTTCGGGGGAAGTAGACCTAATAGATCGGGGAAAGTAGAACTAATAGATCGTGCAATTTGATTCGATGAATATTAAGGCGTCAAAATATTGAAGATTGGAGAGGCCGAACAGCTTAACGTCCTCCGTTCGCACACAAACATAATCTCCAAGCAGATCTTTTGGTGGGGGTAAGACAGTATCAAATTGGCCAGTCTGTATCCATTTCCCCACCCAAGGTCTGCCTGCACTCGAACAGGGAGGAGCACGTCTTTTCAAAAATGGTGTTGCTTCCCCTCCTTGTGTCCCTATTAACAGTTATCAAAAATTTGTTGTGTGGGGAAATAGATACAGACTGGCCAATTTGATACTGTCTTACCCCCACCAAAAGATCTGCTTGGTGATTAACAAACATCACTAAGGCTGAATATGCCAAAACCCAAGCTAAAAACTCATTTTACAGTAACACCAATAGTCTATATTGAAATATCGAAGGTATTTTTTAAGGATAACAAGGAACTGATCGAGCATTCTGTGCATTCAAAATTGTCACATCAAATCAAAAGATGGGGAGAACGTACATGTATAGCGTCGTGACAGAGACATCCTGAGATCACGCGCGAAGCAGTCAACAATAAATTTCTGCTCCAAACGACAAAAATACATCCAATTTCGGGTAAAATGACGCCGCATTTTTACCTGAGCATTTCCCTTCGCCATGGATGTCGCTCCCGGTGAATTTTCAGTACCGCGAAACTGCAACAGGCACCCGGTGGTGCATTTCTCACTCCGCTTATGCCGCAACACGTCCGGACGCTAGTCCCCACCAGACTAACTACGCTGGCTATATACAGGAGAATAATTGCCGGGGGAGTTTGGCCGCCTTGTAGGTTTGACTGGCCGCGCAGTTCGGAGGGAAAGAACTACCTCCCCGCAGCCGGACTCCCTTGGCCAATTTTACTCTCCTTTTTTTTGCCGAATTCTACGATCCGTATTCCCGTAGAAATGTCCGGTGGAGCGACACGTCCAGACCCTACAGCGGACTGTGCGGTAATTATCTCCCACGGATTGCGCACACGACAACCTCATTAACCAATGTCTGCCTCCGCTACTGTAGCCTGGAAATCAGGCTATCTTAAGGGTCGCCACAGGCCAGCTCGTTGGCTTCAGAGACGTGTAAACTTTCCCTGGACCCCTCTGAGGAAAGTCTAGTGAAAGTTTGAATTCCTCATCTGTTTATACGTTGTCGAACTACAATAACGATTACGAAACTGCGCGTGTTTGGAAAAGAAAATCGCCCGGTGGAGTCTACAGCGTAGGCTAATTACCCAAAGCTGCTCTTGTAGGTGATTCGTCATGACAGCAGTGAATGCGGCCTGGCGTCGGCTTCATGGCTTTTTAGATTGGATGCCGATTTTACGTAGTGCGTTTGTTTCAATTGTTTTGATTTTTAATCAACCATTTGTAAAAATTGGAGCACAATTAAGGGGTGCGTTAGCCAATCCCTACCGTTCGTACCTACATCTATTAGGTCAATGAGTGTCTGACGTGCATGTGCTTGAGACAAATGATTCAAACGTCTGGTGTGCGACCCGTGGAATGGTGTTTTTAACCATTATCGTGCTGGTGACAACATATAACGACACCAGTGTCATGCTGAAGCAACGTTTTCCCACCAGACAGAAGATCTTACCTCATATAGACCCAGCTCTCCTATAGGGTCGGACTTTAGCGGAGAGAAGTTGAAGGAATAAAGTTTCAGTTCAGAACGTCTCTTCATAAAGACCAGCGGTCGCAATTCTGACTTAGGCGGAGACATGGCGGCCACATTTGACGTGCAACTATCTTAAAGTATGACTTTCGACTACGCTACGACAAAAACGACCGTTGACAATGATCTTTCGTTACAAGCATCTCGATCTTGTATGACAAATTCACGAAGGTACCAAAATGTTCTCATTTTGTCGTAAATCTGGAACAACAAGTCTACGACTGTCCCAAAATGTTCTAAACTTGTTGTCTTAAGCCTGGCACGACAGATCTACGGCTGTTCCAAAATGTCTGCAATTTGTTGTAAACCTGTCTCACAACCACATCTTCAGGGACAAAAGTGGCAATTTCCATGTAGCAACACTGTTTGTGTCTAACGGAGCTTGTTGTCAACCCACCGAGCTGCCGAGTTATCATATAAGCACACATGACAATATGGACAAGATTGGCTGGAATTACCGGTACACACTTCAACACAAAGAGCGTCGTTACGTTAAAACATGGCGCGTGGTACTCAAACGGTTTCTATGGCAACGTGACGTGTATCACCATGGTTACGTACCTTGCTGTGCTGAAGTTGAGTCCGAACGCGGACATACTCGCCATAACTGGAATGACAACAACAAAGAATTTTAATTGGTTTGTGGTTGTGAGACGTACGCACTCGGTTATGCCGGGCTGGTCCATTTGTAATGTCTGTGGGACAGGTAGCCTATGCTTTGAATTGCTTTATTGGTTGAAAGAAAAACACAAAGCTGAATTGAGATTTTTTACAGTGAGTCAATTTTAGATTAGAGAGTCAGATAACAGTTTTCATATCAGGACTACTACGGTCAAGCGTACATTTGGCCTTACGAGTAAGTAATTATATATACACATATACAGTCTCTAATATCTCACTGTAATTACTGTATAGATGATAAAGGGTTTTGTTAAACAAACAAATGCCAAAATTTCATAGCACTTCTGTCACCTAAATCCCCACGATGAGAACAACACTGCCTAGACCAAAGAACTGTTTATTCATCTTTGTACTAATTTTAAAAAGTATTGAAAAATAAAATATCAAATATCACATTCCGATATTCAAAAAGTGATATACTTAGACCACTGTGATAATTGATAATGGTGATAATCAACTTTAAAGCCCACTCCGCTTACTTTCAAGGTCAATACTCATATTCAAAATGGCGGATCGAACGGGTCAAAGTTCACGGTCGCCGCTGGAGGCCATGTCAACATGGGCGCGTCTACTCACTTTGCAGGCTTGAAGCGTTCCTTCCCGGCGGCCACGTACACTCCGCCAGACTCCAAGTCCTCTAGCGTCTTGACCCGGTGGCCCTCCTTGGGAGTGTGAAGCTTTCTAACAGGCCCAAATGGTGTCGTTCCCAGATCAGTCGAGACATAGTTCAAGAACGTGTCCAGGTCCTTCACGACCCTCTCGTTCACGACGAACTTCCTGCCTGGGTCGAAGGCGTCGCCGTTTTTGTGGATCACCACCGCCTTGGCCCGCTCAGCTGCCGCTATCGCTACGGCCAGAGACATATCAAAACATTTTCATCGGTCAACAGTTGTGAAAAACGCGGTATAACGCTAAGATCTTTAACCAACCAGCCTGGCGTGACTACACTGTTAAGACGCGAGACACACTATACGCGCGCTTTTTTTTATTCCGATGACTAAAGTTCGGTAATTTATAGCTCGGAGGTGAAACTTTGCACCAGGTTTTCGGCGTCGCTATGGCAACGTTGTTTGGGCCCGCCACAATGGCGTAGCCGTGTAGGTTTCCCGCGTTTTCTTTTGAAAAGACTCGGTCAAATTCTTTTCGCTGCTCTTTTGTGGTACGATTTTCAGCAGAGTCATGACAGAACATACCCTCTACAAGGATCTAAGAAAATATTTTCTCTCACAAGATAGCTGAATTCTGTACGATACGCCCAGAACTGTGACAAGAATTTCCATAAAAATTTGCTGTCGTATTGAACCTGTAGTATGATAGCCTCTATAGCATGCCAAAAACTGGGGGGTTTGGGGGTTGATATGGTCTTTAGGAGCTTTTATGTGCTATTTTCTGATTGCATATAGACAACATAACCGGCCTGGTTGAATTACCCCCGTTATTTAGAACTCGGCTAATCAGAAAACAGCCGAAGACCACCAAACCCCCAATTATATAAGCCTGCTACGGAGGCTATAGTATGATCGGTTCTTTTGTTGGTCGTGTTTTTCTGGGGATACCCTAGCCGTGTGTAGAGACAACGCGATGTAAATGTTTAGGCAGGTTTCTAAGTGTGCGCTGACACACCCCTTGTATCACTGTGTACGGTTTACACGCGGCCTTTTGTTCGCTACTCGAGTGTGTTGACTTTGAGGATAAGAAATAGCCTCTGTAGTAGGTTTATAGAACTGGGGGTTTGGTGGTCTTCGGCTGTTTTCTGATCAGCCCAGTTCAAAAAAAAAACGGGGGTAATTCAATCAGGCCGGCTATGTTGTCTATATGCAATCAGAAAATAGCACATAAAAGCTCCCAAAGACCCTGAAGACCCCAAAACCCCCAGTTTTTGGCATTCTATGGAGGCTAGATAAGAAAGTGGCATCGTCCATGGAGGGCTCTTTAGGCCAAACTTGATGCACAGCACTACGATATATTCCTCCTATATAAATCTAGATTTAAAACGTTCATAAAATTTGGTCTCCAGTACAATACAGTCCTCTCCTCTAAGTTTGTCTCAGTTTCACTATGCTTCTTTAGGGTCAAATGAGGACGCCCAACGTTAACCTTTCTTCCTAAAGGACCCCCCGACCCCCCCTTCTTTAGGACTATACACCCTTCTTAAAGTTGACTACATAACAGAAATTATACAAAACCGCAAAATAAAGTTCCTGGGAACGTATGGGTGAATAAGAGCTGGACGTTGTCAAACAAGCGTAACTGTGTTTACGGAAGGTTTCGTGGTGGATTTCTCTCTGATAAACAAGTTTCTTCGCTCGAGTAGAAAATAAAAGGAAAAAAGGAAGAGAAGCGATCCATCAAATCGGGGATGAAGTCGTGTTAACATAGAGGAAACAGTCTATAAAGTTTCACAACAAAAACCTTAAACAAATATTGGAACTGCACATAGTTTGCTTGTCCTTCAGATAGAACTCGTTATTTTAATATAGCCGGCCATCCTACATAGCCGCCGAGAGAAGGTTCCATTCCGTCCACGTCCACTCTTCTCAACCGCCACGGGGCCTGCACGGGAGGCTAGCTTTAAACAATGTTTAGAGTTTGATATTCAAGGATAAGTTCAATGTAGCCAGCTGCCGCCGCGCCGTGTACCTGCGAAGCTGGTGTGTTACACCTAAGGGCGGTTGTACCGGCAGATATAGATACAGATCCAGTTCCCTGTGATCTCCCAACATGCCCTCCTATTGACACAATGATTAGCTTGTTGAACATTCGCGTGGGTTGAGTGAAGTGGGGCTTTCGCCGCACGCAAAGCGATTGTCGTCAACACTGGTCCTTGTTCGGTAACAAGCGAACACGCTTGTCTCGTGAATTATGTATGAACCTTATCCCCAGGAAATACCCGGTAGGATAATATACACAAGCTGGCTAAAGACGGAAGTGAGACGTCGTGATTTGGATGAAATAAAGCCAGGGATCGAAATTCATTTTTGCGAATAGGTGCACTGGTGCACCCAACCTGAAAAAATGGGTGCTCAAACTTTTCTGTGGGTGCACCATATAAGATAAAATAATTAGAATGTCAGGGAAAACTGATTATGTTTTGTTTCTAAAGAAAAGTACTACATGTACAAGAATGATTTTACTATTTTCCTGACAAAATCAAAGTACTACTCTAAATTTAACATCTTGACATATACGTAAACCTACAAAAATATTCGGGTGCACTGGCGCACCCATTGAAAGAAAATAGGTGTACAGCTCCAATTTTGGGTGCACTAAGGTGCACATGCACCCAGTATTTCCATCCCTGTCCCGGTAGGATATACACAGAGCCGGGTAAAGACGGAAGTGAATCGCCGTGATTTGGACGAGGTATTAAAGGCCATGTTGATTTGATTATATGGATGACATCGAAGCGTGCATGAATTTTTGGCCGTTTTCAACCATACTGTAAATCGTACTTAACAGTTGCAAAATGAGTCAAAATATACCGTAAATTGCGAAAAAATGATACCACTGTCGTAGAACGCCAAAATCAAAGACGAAAATGTAAAGAAATGAATTTGAAGAGTAGATTATTCGCCAAACCATATTCAGTGTCATTGGCTCAACCTTCATGACCACGTAGATTTCATAAAGAAAAGAACTTTTTTATTCGCACGCGCGCATCAGTTTTGGGGTTCCCGGAGGATGTCATCCATATAATCAAATCAACATGGCCTAAAGCTTATATCGTTGAAATCGGATCAGTCCACTAAATCTCAAAGCATTATCCGCAATTGACTAAGACGATCAAATAAGAAAATAATAAATCTGCCTAAGAGGGACAGGTGAATGTACATGTTGTAAATCAAGAAGGTTCATACCATGAGATAAAGACTAAGATTTCACTTCCAACACTAATAGACTACAAAAATGGGACTTACCCCAATTTTTCTGTAGTCTATTAGTGTCGGAAGTTAAAGCTTAGTCTTTTTCATAATGACTTGTAGCAACACAGATGAACTTTCATGCTAAGCTTCATACTAGATGTTATGGCGTGGTTTTCGCAATTTTAAACCATGGAAATATCATAAACTAGAGTAATATAAGGCAAATGCACAAGAAATATAT